GGTTCATCCTGCCATACTAAGGGAGGCAGCCTCAATCCTGGCAACGTCGCTTAGCGTGATGTTTTCACACTCGCTTAGCCGAGGCAAATTACCGGAAAACTGGAAGTTGGCTCACATCACACCAATTTTCAAAGGTGGTCGACGCAATGAACCTTCAAGTTATCGGCCGGTAGCTCTTCTGTCGTTACCTTCAAAACTCATGGAGTCCCTGATATGCGACGGTTTAAACGACTATCTACTGTCCTTAAATTTCTTCTCGCCCCAACAGCATGGTTTCAGGAAGGGTTACTCTTGTATAACCAACCTGCTGACTGCGGTGGACAGATGGACAAGCATCCTCGATCGCAAGGGAAAGGTTGATGTCATTTACCTTGATTTCTCAAAAGCTTTTGATAAGGTTAACCACTTGTGTCTTATCAACAAGCTCAAACGACTAGGTATCAAACCACCTCTAATCGACTGGCTTACTTCATACCTAAAAAATCGACACTTTAAGGTTAGGGTTAATTTCACTTTATCTCAAGCTATGGAATGTCCTAGTGGGGTCCACCAGGGCTCAGTACTAGGGCCTCTTCTCTTCTTGATCTACACAAATGATCTTCCTCAACAGGTAACGTCAGACTTATTACTTTTTTCCGACGACGTGAAACTTTGGAGAGAGATACGCAACCAAGACGATATACAGGCACTTCAAGAGGATCTGACTCGACTTCAAAGTTGGGCAGACGATAACGGACTTACCTTTAACACTTCAAAGTGTAAAGTAGTCCATCTGCGACATGTCGCAAACTACAGTTACAACTTAGGAAACACCTCTCTAGTAGTATCCCAAGTCGAAAAAGATTTAGGAGTCCTGGTGCCCCATGACTTAAAGTCTTACGCTAACTTTGACAAAAATGCCTTCCGAGCAAACCTTGCACTGGTAACGTTGAGGCGCATTTTTGGCCAGTTTGACGGAAGAACTTTCCACACAATCTTCAATAGTTTCATCCGTCCCTATTTAGAGTACGGAAACATAGTACTCCCCCCTCACTCCAAAAGGACAAGGTCACTTTGGAGCGTATCCAACGACGAGCCACGAAATCAGTTCGAGGACTCAAATCTAAGCCTTACGAAGAACGCCTCCGTTCACCAGACCTTTACCCACTAGAATATAGGCGTCTTAGAGGTGATTTATTAATGGCTTATAGTATTCTTAACACTTCTGGACATCCTCTTAAACACCTACTTAAGCTTAGTTCGAATAATAACCTAAGGGGTAACACCCAGAAACTGGAAACACAACATAGCAAGACGGAATGTAGACACAACTTCTACTCCTTAAGAGTTGTCAAAAGCTGGAACTCGCTGCCGGCCGAGCTAGTCCAAGCGACTTCTCAGGAGTCCTTCAAGAGGCAACTTGACCTATTCTTAAGGACCAAGGACAGCATCACACTATGATTTACCAATTTCTTTTCCTCTTTTATTGTTAACATACCTAGGTTCCTGCCTGGAGGATTTGGTGATCCCCTGCTACTAGACACGGAAGCCTGTTAAGCGAAAGCTTCTTCTATTCCGTCCACAACCATTTGAACCATTTGAATAATACGATGAGCACAGTGTCAAGGTTGATTCCGCAATTTTTTAAATGTTTCGGAACATATCTTTAGTGTACACACATAAAGGGATTTACTTTTGCTTCTTCAGTAAGTATTTAGCATTCTTCACCATGAAAAAGTTTTTAATATGTTAAATAAGTATTATCGCGTAACCTAACTCCATGGTTTTTGAAACAACTTACGTTTATTCTATTAGGAGTTGGTCGACTTCGTTTTTAAAGTCAGGAGATTCCTGAGAATTCTAGTCGATCACGCGACCATTGCTTCTCTGGTTCTTTGGGCCGCGGGTGTGCCGACTGTTTAGATCACCACTTGCTGCTTCACAGGACACTGGTTCACTACTTTGCATTACTAAGAACTACTCTTGGACTATGGCCTAATCCATGTGATAATATAACTACCATAAATATACCTTGCGTTCCTGTGTAGACGTTTATTAATAACAACTTCATACACATGAATGGTGATTTTTCAGAACTGCTTTATCGACTTGACATTATTAGCCGAGATTCAAAAACTTTTCAATAATGTTAGAATGACGGGTTGCTGTTTTAGTGATTATTTCAATAACTAACTCGAGATTGACTCTAAGAGTTATTTCGGGTATTTCACATTGCGACACATTTTAATCATGACTGGACCGGAAGGTATAAATTGCAATTCACTGAGTACTTGTCTGTCGTCTTTTCGATATACTTGCTCACTGTTCACCACTCAGGCCCGACATTTGGACTCAGAAAAGTACAGTTGATCCACAAAAACTTGTAACTTTAGGTAGAAAAGTGTGAGTTGTTTTTTTGCAAGATACAGTCCTTTTATGCTGCCATCAATTGCCAACAGTAATCACAGATGTGTTACCTGACATCTCCCGAACGACACATACATGAGATAGATCATACGCTAACCACTTACCAATGACATATATGTCAGATGGCCCCTGTTATCAAGAAGCCGTTCTTTGACAAACAGTTTTCAGTGAGACTATAATTTATTGACGACATTTGAGCGACGCTAGGGTGACTTTGAGAATGTCCATTTACTTACTAAGGTTGAATAAGGGCCATAAATCTGTATGAAGTATAAGATTTTCATTTATTTATTTATTTCAACACAAATATTGTTACAAGGGGGCACCAAATATATATGCGCTACACAAAACAATGAGAATGGGGAGAAGAAAAATGGTAAGGAGTGTAAAAGAAAAAAAGAACAATAACGACCAGATTAGTGTAAGGTAGTCTAATAATAATAATAACGGGGGAAACGGAAAGGTTCAACCAGAAGAAATCTTTCAGTTAAGGAAGATACAACCACTTTATGAAGAAAGTAAAAGGTTACATCAGGATCGCTACTGGCTTCTATTCTGAGCCATATGTGATAGCGTCTCTGGCCACTGTGTCGCACTATCTGTCGAACCCCAACCAGGGAGTCGTGAAAGACCGACAGAAGCCAGTCCTGTACATCCTTCTTTTTACCACGACACCATGTCATACACTGACCACCTCTCCGCCTCTTCCAACCAGTCTCAGTGTTGGCAAATAATGCACGACGTGGAATTCTCTGGGACGACATTCGTAGAACATTTCAAAGCCACCGAAGTCGATGTTTCAAGATGGAAACACCAATTAGGTTATCGTCACTGAGCCCGAACACAAGATGCCGAACCTCTGCATTACTAACATGGTGTTGCCACTGGATGTCGGCAATCCTTCAGAGACAACGATGATCAAACACAGAGTCGCCTAACATCCTCAACTCGGAGAGGCCAGGTTTCACAAGCATGGAGCAAAAGTGCTCTCACCGACGCGTTGTAGATCCGATCTTTTACAGCCAGACTAACATCACGAATGCGTCAAAGATGGCCCAGATTGGCATAAGCCGCTCTGGCTTTCATTTACGTCCATTGATCTCATCACTCACGCCACCACCAGCACTTATGCAGCTACCTAGATACACGAACTTCTTGACTATTTCTATCTGCTCACTACCCAGGGTGAGTGTAGGATCAGGGTCCTGCCAGTCTTGTAGAAGTACTTTGCACTTCGAAGGTGCAAAGCACATGCCGTACCTACGGACATTGATTACCAACTGATTAAGTGCGGATTGTATGACTTGGGCATTATCGCACAGTAAGACAATATCATCCGCATACTCAAGGTCGAGTAGTCTTTCTCCAGGCAACGGATTCACACAGCCATTACTTACATCCATCGGCACGGATACAGAGGGCTCGACTAGCTTGTGCCAACTTGCATCATTTATGGCGTAGGCAAGATATTCGTCTACCAACCAAAAGACGGGTTTACTGTGCAGCAGTTCGTTCCGTCCTACTTTATGGCAGTGAAACATGGCCGGTAAGAGTGGAGAGTATTCGTAGGTTACTAGTATTCGATTATAGGTGTCTTCGAAGCATTGCTCGTATATCCTGGGACCACCAAGTAAGTAATGCAGTTGTTAGGAAACGGGTACTAGGTAAGGATGACAAATCAATTAATGAAGAAGTGAAACTTCATCAGTTGAGATGGCTGGGGCACGTGTTACGTATGCTCGATGAGCGATGTTTTATGATGTAGGAGTAGGTTGGCAGAAAGCTAGGGGCGACCAGACCAAAACGTAGCACAAATCCATTAAGTCACTGACAAGTGAACTGAGTCATGTTGGTAGGTGTAGACTACCTGGTTTGGATCTGCGAGACGATAGCAACCGGTGGTTAGAGACATACGTAACACGTGACCCAACCATCTCAGTCGATGAAGATTAACAACCTCATCAACTGATTTACCATCATTCCCTAATATCCTGCGTCTAACCTCACTATTACTTACCCGGTGATCCCAGCAGATGCGAGCAATATTTCTAAGGCATCTGTGGTCAAATACTAGTAGCTTACGGGTGTCTTCTACTCTTAATGGCCATGTTTCGCTGTCGTAAAGTAGAACAGAACGGACTGCCGCGCAGTATAATCTTCCTTTTATTGATAGACGGATATCTCGCCTTCGCCAGAGGTGACGTGAGTTGGCAAAAGCCAAACGAGCTTTTCGAATCCGTGCTGAGATTTCGTTTGATACCAGCCCATTAGGGCTGATCAGACTTCCAAGATAAGTGAAGTTGTCGACGCGTTCGACTACTTCACTCCCTATCCTTAGTTCAAGTGTTGACGCAGGCCAGTCCTGAAGCAACAACTTGCATTTAGAGGGAGAGAAGCGCATTCTAAACATGTATGATTGATTCGCCTATAAACTAGTCTCATCTTTTAATTTTAATATATTGTGGACTTCTTGAGGAATCACTGCGTTTGTTGATCTTAATTCGTTCGTGAATTTCAGTTGGGATTACCGTCAACTCTACTGTGCTTTCAGCCAGTCGACCACATGGATTCTGAAGAAAGCGAACAATGAAGAAATGGCTTCAACTTCAAAGTCAAATGAAGATTCCTCAGCTACTAATCCAGACGACGGTAATTCTCCTTTTTTTTAAAAAAAATATTCAGTTTGCTAACGTTTACATAGTTTTTTTTATCAAAACCCTTGGGAACGGTAATAATGAGTTCCGTTCATTTTCGAGATATTTCTCATCAATATTTACGTAAATTCACAGATCTAACTTATATAAACAGGTTTCTCAACTGATCTAATGTGAATCTATCCAGATTGTTAGGAGTTGGGATGGGTGCTTTAGCCGTCTCCCCATATACTTGCAACAAAACTTTCTCGACAAACCTGCTCGCAAATTTTTGTTGAATGCTGTCATTTCCTATGTCAATAGTTTGACTGGTAGTTTTCCTATGTATAAACATTTCTTAATATCTTAAAACAAATGGTGCACTTTTCACTACAGTTTATTAATATTTCCAATTAACACGTCCTTCCAAACGATCTGTAATACTTACGGAGAAGATTCCTTAACAAGTTAGAATCATATTTGGGTTTTTATGTTGATATTTGAACGTCATAGAAAATCACTGAACCTCTGCATGAATAAACACTTCCTATGTCTCTTGAAATTACAATATGTATATATAAGATTACAAAATACAAAACAGCATGACCGCTTATCATTGTCACCTACAGTTACTAGAAAATTTTCTATAAATTTTCTCTTTGGTTCCAGTGTGTCATAATCTTTGTACCATACTGATTTGGGCCTGCACACAAGTCATTTGTCTTGAATTAAGGAATATATGCTCCATGTAGTGTATGGATCAGATTCTCCATGGTATTTTACTAGCCACATCGTCACTTGATTTTGATTTTTCTGGCTGCTGTAATTTAGAGTAATGATTTGAAAAATTAGACAACTTTTTCGACAAACTTGTATTTTTATAAGTTCCTAAAGAGAGAAAAATGTCTGATTAATGTTAAAAGATATGATGATGTGACTCATTGATCAAGCACGAGTTTTGTGTACTCGGCTTTAAGCCATGCATTGTATGAAGCTTACCAATTCCACTCGGATTTTCAGTCATAAGTGGTTAGAACCTGTTTATATTCTCGATCTGTTGGTTGAAAGTCTAATACTTTAATTGAAGTGGTTGGGACATGTGTCATGTATACCCAACCACAGCCTACCTTGATGAGTGATGCTTTTTTGATGTATGATATAGTGTAAATTTAGTATACAAATTTTATATCACAACAGAAGTGGAATAGTTGGATTGCGTAGAAAATTCAAGTGTGCTTGGTTATTTACTATTGCACATCATTCTGTGGTGAAATGACTCCAGTTCTAGTCTGGTGTAAACGGAAAGTTGTACGTTATCAACCACATGATGAGATGTGTAGACCTTTTCTGCATAATAATAAAAATAATCACTATAGTTAAGAAAACCATGGAATCGTACTACTCGTCATAACAATTAGCTTCTACGCAGTTTACAACATTTTCTCAGGATTAATAATTAAAACTTTGCAACCAACTACAATTTTCATAAGTCTTTATCTGAAATTAATGAGACTTATGTTTATTATTTACATAGATATTCCTCATAAAATTGTAGTACCTGTCTACTGCATAATCTGTAAAGTTTAATATGAAATATACTTCAAGCATTATTCATGTATTTACTGAAATATATACCTTTTGTTCTAACAGATTCCCTAAAGTGTATAACTGGACAACAGAACGTTACACCAAATAGGTTTATTAAGAGTCAGCCGAAAACTGATGTTTCGCTTGGTTTTTCAAATTCAAACCTAACTGATGAAAAAAACTTGAAAGGATCCAGTAATACTCCACAAGTATTTCTGAGTACTTCACTTCCATGTCTTTTTGAAAGTGAGTTAACGTACAGCTTTACAATAATCTTTTAAGATTTGTCAACATAGTTTTGAATTTACCTAATGAATAGTACACGTATGTAGTTTTCTGATATTTACCAAATAGGTTCTTTTTGGGTAAGAGCTATTCGCGACATCTTCGGAGTGAATAAATAAACTTGCTTATGTAGTATAATCCTTTAAACGACTAACACTAGATGTTACCTGGGAAATTCGATAACTATCGTTTTACTCAGACATAAAAGTTGGTTGTTTTAGAATAAAACCTTTATACTTAACCATGTGTACTTTTACTATATGCAACATCTGAATCAACAACCGATCTGCTAATACGATCAAATGGTGAAAATTCGTACTCATATAAATGCTGTTACGCTCTCAAAACACGTAAATATGCTAATAAGTAACTATGTTATTCAAAAGAATTAAGATCAGTAATAAGATTCATTGGTATTTGAACACTATCCACACCTATACACGTTTTTAATAAACAGACGAACTACATTTTATCTTACGTATATTTGTCTTTCTTCAGAGCCCAGAAATTCTCAATTTTTATATCTTATAGTGTAAACTATAGTTCTCAGTCATTTCTTGGAGTGATTTATGATATCGGTCTTATTACGCAGGGATTATAAAATGTTACGAAATATACCAACTTTAAAGTATGGCTCATACCCAAGTACTTGGTGAATAAATCCATTTTTTTCTTACCATTAGGTTACTTACTTTTAATCTCAATTACATTGCTGTATTTGAATTTATCGGGGTGCAATGATTTTGTGACGTTTGTTCTTTTTTATATCCATTTATTTGAAATTCTTCACAACTTAAAGGCGCTATATTAACAAATTTATACCCGAAACTGATAAGTCATTTCAATCTTCGTATAACGTGCTACTTTACCGTAACAAGGTAATTTAAGAGTGGTTTTCACAGTTTACATTACGAACTAATCTTAGTTCGACAACCACTAGGAATCACAAAGTACTAGATATCTGTTTCATCCCAATTTGGTACTCCACAGTTGTGTGCACCTATGATCCCAACGGGGACGGAATTCGTAACCTTAGGGCCTGACGGCGAGTGCATAACTTATACCCGATGATATACATGTTTAACTTCGACTAGTTTTTGATATTGCCCAACCATCGTCGACTGTCGTGATCATGTGAGGCAGTTACCCACCGAAAGCAATGAAAGGCGTTTATGCAATATTGTGGACTAATTGAAATTATACATTTATATCAATGTGTGCTTCCTTAGTGGTCCAAAGGTTATTCACTTGCTGTCAGACCTTAAGGTTTTGAATTCGGTACCTTCTAGGGTCATGGGTGCATACTACTGGGGAGTCCCAAATTGAGACGAAACAGATATTTAATGCTTCTTGATACTTAATGGTTGTTGAACTAAGATTAGTTCGTGGTGGGAATTATGGAAATTCAACATCTGTATGAATTTCTATGGCAAAAGTGCATTTGCTGTAAAACTTTTTAGTTTTTTCATCTATGCAATTGCGTCTCGACCTACACTGTATGCTTTATTTTTTGTTTCATATAAACCAAACATATTTACTATTTCTTCAGTGAAAAGGTTTTCATGAGTTTTTAGGTATCATTATCAAGGTTTCACTCGATAACTTCAATTTAATTGAGTATTGGGAGGATTGTTAACAAATATGTTACTTTTATTACTAAAATATTAATTTTTTTGAGGTACTTGGGGAATTACTACTAAATAATGTTTGGTAGGTAGGTAGTATTTGTTGAAACTTCATTAGAACAATATATTGTGTGTAGAACTTGTGGTAAGTAGTTCAATTTGTTTGATTGACTTGTAAATGCGTATAGTGTCTATTTTTGTAAATATTTTTGTTTGGAATGTTTCTATAGTTCATGTTAAATTAAATAAAAATTACAATTGAATATAAACTTTTTCCATAACATTTATACCTATAGTTCCTTTCCTATCGTTAAAGCATATACTGTTGTAAATGTGTATTCGATACTTGACTTTCTGAAAAGCTAAAAAAAATCCACACAATATGTTTTTATAAATTATTGTTCTTTATCAATAACTCTTCAGAGCTTCGGAAAAATAACCCATGTATTAGTATTTCGACTTGAACTATCAAATGTTTTCTGTTAGCGTTTAAGAATAGAATTTAGTTTGCCTTCATATGATTTTTATTAATTTCGGTGAACATTTCTAATTGGTTACAATTATATACTTTCGTTTGTAGCATTCACATGATTCCATTTTATTTTTCCCCTACTAGTCTTATTATGTTAGTTATCAGATAGTTGCTAGCGTTAAAATCGAATATTGATAAATGACCTGTCTATTACTTAATATTGAGTAATTTTTAATATGATATTATTGAGTTAAATCTCGTTCTTGTGGTCTATAGTCACGTGACACTGTGTGTATTGATTGATTCAACATAGTTGCTTTTAAGTGATATTACCTTTAACATTGTGGGTTTTGTGACAGGTGTTGCCATTTTGACAGGTATTTCAAGTAGCCTTCATAAATGATGACTTTTTGTTTTGTACATGCAAAAATTAATTGATCGTTATGTTAAATGAAATGGGAAAGTAAACAAATATAAATAATTACTGATTTAAACCTGTTGGCCCTCTTGGGGCGTTTAATTAAGTGATCTTCTAGAAACTCTGTCTTGGGCTCTCTCTAGTTGTTACCGAGTTCTATTTATGCTCTAGATGTCTGCAACATGTGTTCGTTGATCTGCTTATTTTTCTCTCGCCTTGAGAATTCCAGCTTAGGGATTGCCTTGTGATACATTTTAGTGGTTCCCTCAAAGTGTGTCCTATCCACCTCCGGTATCTTTTCTCAGTTTCCTCCTTAGCTGAAAGCCAGTTTGTTTACTACCAGAGTCGGTTATCACCAATGGTCTCTGGTCAGTTGTATCCTGCGTAGACAACTGTTCATAAATGCGTGTACGTTTTGGTGATGGTGGTAGTACTTCACGTTTCAGCTCCGTAGGATAGAACTGTTTAACGTTTGTATGTACAGTTCTGAATTCCTTGTTGGCTGACTGCTTTGAGTTCCAGATGTTCTTTCATTGTAGGAATGCTTCCTTTGCTTTACTCAGATCTTTTGGACAGTAGCCTCTCATAAAACTGGCCTTTGTCGTCTTCGCTCCTATCATTGATGGGGGAGTATCAATGCAACTCTTTGTGTGCGCGGGAAAATTTCTTTCGTAATCGGAATACAACATCTTTTCTATCCGTCTTGTGCAATGGGTTTTACTGATTCCAAATACGGCAATGTTATATCTCATATCTGGTGCTATGTAGATGAGCTTTCAAGTCTCCCACACTGTTTGGACATTCCATGTAGCTGTATTAATTGTCGCTCCGCATTAGGATGACTTCCGAACAATGTAAATTACTGATTTCTGTTGTCTCTGGAATAATCGTTGAGGGAACTCAAGTTTCTGAAAAACTTCTAGGACTTGTGCTGTATTAAATATCTTAGATATACTAGTCGGTTTAAGAGTATCATGAAATACTTCAGGTTAATTGTAATGATACTTACCAACTCTCCATCGATTATTTAAAGGATGTTTCGAATTTTTTGAGGTCCAGGGGACTCATTTATTAGTTAGAGACTTCAACCTAGATAGTTGATAATCAGTCTTACTAGTACATATATATCTATTCCCCTTTTTTTCAAGTAGCAAATACCATTTATCATTTTGTATCTTTCTGTGCAGTACCAATCTTTATTTCCTCCTCATGTTTTTCAATACTGTTACTACTAGTGTCGTAAAACTTTCTTTAATTCTTGTTTTTATTGGTTTTATCTTGCTATATGGTGTATCGGTGTATGAATTTAAACTGACAAACTATTGTATGAATTTCTGGTCTAATTTTATACTTATTGTTATCAGACCTAAACATATAAAGTGTAATTAACTCCCTGACTTCATTATTATTCACCTGAAAGTTTGAAACATTCAACAAGTTTACTGAAGGTGACTTATATTTATGTATTTGAAGCTACTTCATCTGTTTTAATGTATTTGCATAAATTTTCACTAGTTTGTATTTAGTTTGTTTTAATTTATTAATAAAACCAAATTTATCTTCGAATCATTTAGAAATTGTATCAAAACTACGCAAACGTACATGTAAATAATATTTACAATCGATCTACCGTGAATTTTATGTTTAGTCGCCCTTACCTAGGGTCCATATTAAAAAAAACATGTTTGGATTCATTGTATATTACTCTTGTTTCGTATTTGATTTTCAAGAACAATTATTTCTAGTAATAATGACTGCTTGAAAATGTTTTTATTATCTTTATGTCTATAATCGCGTATGATTTTCGTAAAAACAACATATTTATCATGAAATTATGCTTAAGATCCAGAAATCTTAACTAGGCTCAAAATGGACTAAAGCTTCTGTATAATTTTTTTAAACCTTGTTGAACTGATATTAGTTTATGAACGCGACAATGTTTACTAAGTTTTACTTTACACAGAAAAATAGTCCAGTAAGTTTTTTCTAGACCCCATTAATTCGTTTCATGAAATAAGTTTAACCCATGGTATTTTTAATTTCAGTAGTGCAGTGAGTGATGTAATACATTATTTTTGATTGAATCCGATATTTGTAGATAATAAACACATAGTGATACATATGAATAGTTAAATCCTAGCTGAAATGTGCTGTAAACTGGATTTGTAACGGTTTCATTTCGACATCATTCTCTATGCTACTAGTAATATTGAAGCTTAAAGATAGTTCTATAGCCTACAGTAGTTTTGATAAAGAATGGGTTATATTATTAATAAACGTATGAAAATTCATAGACAAAGTTTCTAGAGTGTTGTATTTGAACGGTGTTTGGTTGACTATTGTTTCGGATAAACTTGGGACTTTGTTAATTGCTTTATTTCCAGTTCTGAGGTTAAATACCTAGAATCGAGAACCCTTACAATTCTCATGACGAGAAGTAAAAACATCAGACATTAATGTGGGTGAAGCTTTATCGACCCTCTAAAAATACGTTGTTAGTGTTGCAACTGCAAACATTTCTTGATACTTCAACAGGAAAACGGTAAATCGGATAACACAAATAAGAACAGGAAGATTGTAAATGAGGATTTATATTATACCTTAAATAAATCAAAATAATTGATGAACACTAATTTTTATATGACGTATTTATTATGATTAACAGCTAGGTTTGTATTAATTGAACTGAACAGTGTGTAACAATAATTAATTGATTAATAATTTACTGAATAAACGTAAATATACAATGTCATAAAATTAACAACCCATACTCAACGGATATGACTAGAATAATTACTCTTTAAAATGTGATTGAGAAAATAATTGATTGTTGTTTGTTTATCTCAGTCAAATCATTTATATCTTTTCTCATTATATCATAAAGGATTTTGACGAAACTAATATACGTTTTATATTGAATCAAATTTATTCTGGTTATCGCAGTATATTTTCTATAAATCTATTTCACTTTAATATCCATCTTACAGAATTGTCACTTCTCTTTTTAATTACTCACAGATCCTTTGAGCTTGAACTCGATTTCTAAATCTCTTCCTGTTTTATATCAAATCAATAATCATACTGTACATTCAGAGAATGAATTGTCGGTACATATTAAGGACAAAAATGAGAGTATATTTATTCAACCTGACAACTCGCCAAAAAATATTCAGTTAACTAAATCTGATTCAAATGAATCGTTGAATCATTTAAATACAATGGAATTGATAAGTAATTTAAACACTTCTATAAATAATAATAAATCTAATTGTCTACCTATAATTGAACCGAATAAATTACTTAATAACATACCAAACACATCAAATGTTGATTCATTATTAATTAAAGAATTAGAAAATTCTATATATCATATTAAATGGATTAAATTTAATAATCAAACACGTCCAATTATAACACAAAATAACAATGGTCCATGCCCAATGATTGCTATAGCAAATGTACTTTTATTACGTGGAACAATTAATTTATCAAATGATAGTGAATTAATCAGTGGTAATCGTTTATTGGCTATTCTTAGTGAACTACTTTTATCGAAAGCTCCTAATGTAAGTTTTATAACCAAATTTTGAAAGGCAACACATTATTTGTAAATGCTTTGTATTAGATTGATTAATAAATAATTATTTTATGTTTCGGTCATATATATGAGTGGTTGTTTTTATTCAATAAATATTGAAGTGTTATAGGTTTGTGCAACATCCATATCACAGAAGAATGAATCATGTTAGATCAAAAGGTAATTAAGGTTTAAAAGAATATTTCATGAGTGTTGTTGCTTTTCTATTATACAGATTTATAAGTTTATAGAACATATAATTTATGAAAATACTACTTTATTTAGTTAAGGGAAAATTTCTGCTGAAAAGCTAAACAGAATTTTTAAACAATACTGAATAAATTATTAACTAAATCAACATCTGTAAAATGCCAAAATTTAGTACGTTCTCATTTAACTTTTTGATTGATCGGGTAATCAATCAGAATCGAAAAAGAACTATTTTCAACTTTTCTGCACAAAATTCAGAAAAAAAGAATGACTTTTATTTTGTATCACATAAAAAGTGTACTAGGCAAAATACATTTTAAATAAAGCAAGAATAAATATTGTTGCAGAATAGTATGAATTCATATTATTTCGACGTTTCTCATCAGCTGCTTACAAACCAAAAATGTGATAGAATTTTTACATAGAGATAGAGTGAAAACAATTGACATAATCACAGAATAAACTCTGCGTTGAAAGTCACCTACCCAGCAGCAAAACTTATGACAGTATGGCAAACGAACTGCTCACTTCAACAAACCAAAATCGACAAGCCCTCTTTTCTTAGTAGCTTCAACTGCATCTACCAATTCACATGTACGTGCCAAAGCACATACATTAGAAGAACTGAGAGAAGAGTGCATGTCTGCATGTCTGAGCATGTTCCAAAAAACTTGAGGCTGCGAGGGAATAAGGCCTTCAACAGCGCAATAGCTCGACATCTACTTGACACAGGGCACACCATCGACATTCCGCATGCTTTTAAATTATCAATGGACAAAGAAGTACGACCGCCCTCCGTTTTGCTGAAGCCATCATGATAAAAAAACTTAAACCTGACTTATGCATCCAAAAAGAGACTTTAATTAACTTATCACTACCCTGGTAACCCTTTTTTTAAAATTTTATTATTTATTTATTTATTTTAAAATATTTATACTCCTCCCCTATTACATAACCACATTATTATTCACACATTTCCACCACCTGATCCTCTTAAATTATCTTAACTTTTCAAATTCTATTTAATTATTATTACGTAACCTATCTTATGATTATTCAATTCCATTATTACACCACCCAACCCGAATTAATTCTTTTTGACCTCTGACATGTTCTAGCATATATATATATATATATATATATATATATATATATATATATATATATATATATATATATATAGTTATTATTGTAACCCAGTTATTTACACTCATCTATGTCAATTGTTTTCACTCTATCTCTATGTAAAAATTCTATCACATTTTTGGTTTGTAAGCAGCTGATGAGAAACCTCGAAATAATATGAATTCATATTATTCTGCACCAATATTTGTTCTTGCTTTATTTAAATTCATAAAGGGAACCAATTGCATGAAAATACATTTTTGTAGTACTTGGAACGTTTGAAGTATTTAGAAAGACTATTTTTTGCATCATCATCAAGTCAAAATGATAATGCTAAATATGTCACATGATCAATTTTATGTTGTAGGTTGTATGTAACACGTAAATCAATGAGTTTCTGTCTCAATTTACGTTGTTCTTAGTAAGCCGTAAAACAAATTTCTATATGGACAGTTCTCTGCTTAATTGGCTTGGTGGTGCAGAGAAAATGCTTATATAGATAACGGTTTGCTCAGATGATTCCCTACATATCTTTGTCTTCTTACTACAGTTCTATAGCTCTCCAGTGGATTTGTTTTAGCAATGTTGAACTTTATTGTTGGGTATAAAAAGTATTTAGAAACAAACCTTTAGTATGAATATACTGAGACTCAGATGAATGATGTTATTTTTTAGTGATATTCCTACAATATTAAAATCGGAATACTGATTATAAACCTTGACAGATGGAGAACTAGATATATAGGAAGTGCTTATTTTCCCCATTTGTCAAAATATTTTGTTAGTGTAAGCAACGATAAAGGTCTTTCCGAAATCTTTTATTTTAATATACGTCAGTAGTCGACTTTTGTGTAAAACTAGTTAAACTACCCTACATAGTATAAAAGCATGTGAATACCACGAAAATATTGGTATCTATTCTGATGTTTATTTCTTAAATGGTTTCGGTTTCAACGTGTATTTTGCATTGATGCAGTACCGGCTTTTTTAAACTGGATATTTGAACTGCGTCCGCCTTATATGTTCTGTTCTTCATATAACTGACTAACTTGAATGTATTGTTAAAAATCAGTATGCTATCCAACTTTTAAATTGAATTCTTTTTTTAAAAAACAAATCCATAGGATCTTGATTACGACCAACAAATTAATTATGAGTCGAATTTCCGTGATGTACTTTGCTTATTTCCCAGTTTACAAACTGGACTTGATATAAATATCAGGTTTACTGGGTAAGTAGACTATTTGTTATAGTAGTAATAATAATAATAATAATAATAATAATAATAATATTTTTATTTACTAGTTTTATCTTCATTTATACTAAGGAAATTGAGTAACTAGGTAACAGTAAGCATCACCTTTTCATTAAATTTACTATCAGTAAACTGATGGCTGGTTACAAATCCACATTTACAATTAAGTATGCTGAAAAAAGGTTATACAGTTCCACTAATTGATTAGATATTACCGAACTCTCTAAAATATGTAGCGGAAATTTGGATTTATTAAAGTTAGTTCTGAATATATGAAATTTTCTATAGGTTACAATTTTGCTAATCATTTTACCTAATGACTACTTAAACATTTCAGTTAATCCTCCTCCTTTTAATAATCCTATCGGCTAATGTGTTCTTTATAAATAAGTAAATAAGACCTTAAGAAAAACTCCAAAAGTTCTATTAAGCAACTACTGTGACCGATAGAGCTTAACTATGTAGTGAATGTGACAGTTATCACCCACATCAATATTACCAATTAACTGAAGTTGGAAAATATGGATCACTAGATTTTAAGTTCAGTAGTCTTTAGTTAGCAATGTAATGTCTGGAAACGTTGAGTTTGGAACTTTCAGGGGAGGAGCTTATGAAAAAGATTCTTGGATTGTCAAATGTATCAATCCAGTGCTATTCTATGGATGGATATACAACGATACCAAGTGACTGAGTGATATGGACTGCTCATAAGCATTTGAACTGAACTGATATCAAAGGACAAGTCAGTTGTTCAATTGAATAGGTTTTTCTTTTAACAAAATAACCCACTTATGTAATAGATATTAAACACAAAAATATTTATGATCAAAAGTAATTTAATAAATAATTGATAAAAGGATATGACATCCATAGGTTATTTACTGTCCAATGCTATTAATACCTAATTATCAAGCTTAGTTCTTGCTGCATCATATCAAAAAACCTTTTAGGGTCGTGAATATACACTGCTGAGGAGTCCTACATTAGAATAAAATGACTGTCTAGTGCTCCTTAGTTTCTAATGATTGCTTAGCTAAATCCAATTTATGATGTTTAAACAAGTATTTATTATAGAATTACAACTTTGTCTTGACTCTTTAACATTAATCTGTGAATCTTAATAACAAATTTAATCCACATGTGAAACTGTGATGGTGAGATTTTTTTCATTATTCTCAATCAATGTATTTACTCTCTAAGCTTGAAGTACAAATTTTTACTTGTTTTATGAAGTTAACAAACTATCTGTTCTTAACACATTTTTTTGTCTAAGAAAAATATTTTAAATCCTCAAACTAATTTAATTTTTTTGAAGATAGCACACCTCGAGGAAACCACTAACTTAATTGTTCATGTAAATAAATTGGTTTTTGGATTTTTATCTAATGAAGTAACCCAACTTTAGTGGGTGGATGCAGTGAGCTATACAACAAGAAACTGTCAACCATTTTTAAAAAGATCGCTCTATTGTTTGATTTATAGAGGTCAGAAATATTGACATAAATGATTCGAAATAATTCCAAAATTTATTAGATACTTTTAAACTTTGTTGATCGCTTTATTTCCGCATTACATACCAACTTGGTTAAATAAAATACAAACGGGATAGTGTTTCTCTAATTCTCATATTTAGGTTACTAAATTAATAATAATAATAACAATAATAATATTGTAACTCATTTATCAAGTAAATATTTGTATTCTCGACCCTTAGCCATCCTTCGTAATTTTAACTAAACTATATTCTTTATCACGTACGATTATTGTTCATTAATTCACTGATTGTACTACACTCTCCTCCCTTTGTTCTGCACTATACTATCGATTAATTTATGTGACACACGTTTTGGTACCCTATTACACCGTAATTTGTGTGTATTAAATTAAATTAAAAAGTTTTAAAAATCCATATAGATTTATTTAGGGTACGATTGACTGGTCGTGCTCCCAGTTACATCAGTCATTAATAACCTTCACACCTCAGTTCGTAATGTGTTTATTGTCTAAAGCATACACTAATATTGAGTATAGTTGAACCTTAGTTGTTAAGAAATAAGTGTCGAATATGTTTGTATTCAACTATAAAGAATGATCTTGTTCAGTGAGTTTAATAAAAATGTAGATTTGTAGAGTTTTTTGGTGAAGTAAATTATTAACTTAACATAGTCTGTGTTAAGTAGCTGTGTATAATATCTATGACCAAACACTTCTTAATAGTTTGTTTTCACTGCTGAAAGATACTAAATGTATAATACCGTTTATTGAGTAGTCCTTAAACGTTACATTGTCTTTCAATTTTTGACAGACCACGCGCTCATTGATTTAAACACGACTTCTGACAACCACCTACTTAGATTAGCTTAACCGGATAGCATAATTAGTTTACAAGTGGTAGGTGTATTATCAATCGTTGAGTATCAGAATGTTTTAATAGTTACGCTAAGTTCAACATGAGTTAAAACTAGAATTCACCGATTGTCACACTCAAGTGTTGAATCACACTGACTAATCTATCTGATAATAATAATCTTTGGATTTTGTTTTACTTGTGATTATTTGTTCCAGTTAATCTTTTAAGTATATTGTTATTTCGTTACTTATTTTATAAGTGTTGCAGATTTTGAGTACACTCCAACATTAAGCTTATTTGATTTGTTCAACATACACATTTATCATGGTTGGCTTGTGGATCCTGATGAACATGATTTAGCTGCAACTGTTGGTAATCGAACTTATAATCAATTGACTGAAGAGTTACTCCGATTAGAATCATCTGATAATTATGAGGATTTAAAAAGAAGTAAGTGGTATATGTGTGTCACTTTTTCTATCATTCAATATAGATAGAATGTATTTCTTTTTTGTATGGATGAATAATAATTCATATGCTAGAAAGCGTTGATGTATAAATGAAAGAAGTATTCTCTTATGGTCAATAAATGTTGAGATCTCTGCTTCAATATATAAGAATATTGCTTGTAAAGTATCGATTATTTGTTTACGTTTCTTGTAGTCGAGATAGTTTCATGAAATCAATATTTCATTGTATAATTGTGTATTTCACCCAAAAGGACTAATCATCTATACTATGTTTTTAAATTCTAATTTGTGACTGTAAAAAACATAATCGCATTACTGCAATTTCTTTCTTATTCTTTTCATATTTTCAAATATTATTGTACATATTATTTCGCTTTATGCCAAATTATTTGATTGTACAAAGGAAAATTTAATTTGATGGAATGCTAGTTTGAGTGTTCATCTTTTAATTGACTTGTGAAATTATCTCGTTCAAGTTTCGTTGAATATTTAAAGAACTTTCTTTGACGACTCGATAAACGTAATCCAATTATCGTTATTTAGTTTCACAAATATTTTCATAGTGAATTGAATTTAACGTAACCTTAGTGAGTGAATGGATATCCATATCTATATGGATAGTCGAACCCATGACCTTGAGATCTCACGAAAAGTCCATTGCCATTGCACCATTCCGTTTCAATTCATTGGTACACACTGTCCTACAGAATTTATGTTGGGATACAATGTGTCCGTCATCTAATGTTATCAATTAGCGTCAACCTTTTAGATAACTTAGTTGACTCTGCAAGGTTATGATTTGCCACTCAAAATGCAGAGTATCTATTCCAAAGCTTCTCTCTCATAAGCACTGCCTAATTACTTCATGAAATCGTCTAGAAAGATCCAGCTAGAATTATTTAGTTCTTTTTATTCCAATCCTTACCTATAAGTGTTACGTTACTGTTATCTGTTAAAAAGATTGGTTTAATACTACTCCAATGCAATAAAATATATAGGAAATAATATTTTCTTTTTCATATTTAAACAATAGGTATACTTGTTGAATGGTTTCTAAATGAAAGCGGTTCACAGTTAACTTTTCATGGTCTAAGCCAGCTAGTTACAACTTTACACGATGAAGAATTGGCTGTGTTTTTTCGAAATAATCACTTTAACACCATATTAAAGCATAAGGTAAGATGTAAATCCATTGTTTTAAATATGTGAATGGCCTCATGTTAGCTTGGCTTGGTTAAATCTCGTGACTGATATTTCATCATACATATATTGATTTCGAAAATTGTTTCTAGTCATGTGTCACATTCCATTGTATAAAAGAGAGCAAATGATGAAAGTCTCTATCGATCGACATGCACTAAGATTTAGTATGATATGATTAAGTAATAACTATGCACTATTCCAAACTAAATGAATACCAGAATATGTAGCTACGAATTAATTTTCAGATGGGACGAATCAGTTACTTGGAGATCAAAATAAATATTAAACGAAGATTGTTAAATATCATTTTTATAAATAACCAGCTGTGAATATATTGCATGTGGAACTCACTGCCCTTAGCACAAATTTCTTGTTGCAATTACAGCCGCATAAAAATGCAAATAACTACAAATTTGCATCTAAAAATATAAAATTCATAACTCGACCTCATTTAATATCGACAATATTTCCTTATTGTCGTGTTTTTTCCTTATCAAACGCTTGTAGTGTGCGTCTATAAAATTGTCTAAAGTCTAACATTCTTGAATATATGTATGACTATATCATTTCTACGCGAATTGTAAAATTCACTCATTTTGTTAAGTTTTACAGTTTGCATGATATATTACGCCCAACAGCAAACAAAAATGTCGTTAAGAAACTATCAAATGAGACTTTCATCAGTAATCATTTGCTCAATCAAATTAGATTTTTGAAAAATGAAGACAACTCAGTCAAGATTTTATTTTCCATGATTTAATTAATATTGTTAACAAAATAAAAATAAAAAAAAATAATCTTTGGTCAAATGTCCTCATGACCTTGTTTTCTTTTAGAAATGGGCTTAATTATTGGTTACTTTCCTTCAGTGTTATGCATGTTTATTAATTTGTTGCTCAGGGTTCCGTAATAATATATTTTTTTAAGAGTACTCAACATCTGAGACCACCCACCATTTTGTAATTTTTGTGTAGTAGATACGTAATATAGTTTTAGACAAAAGGAATAGATTTTTTTATACCACTTTCCATTATCTCGGCTGTATGTAAGATACGAAATCCAAAGGCATACGATAAATTGGGTTGAACACAGCTGTTAGCTTTGAGTATTTTCAGTTTAATGACTGGTATAAAGCGACTAAATTTACACTTCTAGAACGTCTTATTTTTTTTCTCTGTCGTTTACTCAGTTATAAATGAGGACTTTCAGAAATGTGATGATGTGACCAATGTAACTTGCTCCACAAAAATAGTTGAATAAATAAATACAGAAATATGTTTTATTACGAACTTCGGTGGATATCCATCTTGACTAAGTAAGCAGATCACAAATAATTTTGAGTTCCTTTGCGAAATTCTTGTCCAAGCAATTTAATTTAATGCTGTCAACCAAACACTTAAATTGTGTTGTAGTGAATGCTGAATCGTAATAAATGGATTTAAATGTCGTTTTATTATTTAATATGGTCTTGTTAATAGAAAATCGAGAAGCGAAACGATGCCGCTTTTTTCCTCTCTCATTAGAAAATTTGACTGATGAGCTCTAGTAAATTTATCCAGTCAACGTGTGATAGCTCATACTTTTTTTTCAGAACTAGCAATGTATCGTTCATGCAGAGATAAAAAGACAGAGTTTACTGATAACCTAAACAGCTTTTCTAGCATTTACTTGGAAATGTACTTATTCATTGATTAGAATCTTCAATCCAATATCTCAGTTTTCATTCTTTATAAACTCTATAGTAAAATATAATCAGATATTGTTATATCTTCCATACAAAAACAATACGTCATAGAAATTTCTTCTTGCTCAAACTTTTAATAATAAATATAAACACAACAAATGGTCACTTATCTCTTGTAATCTTGATTCATGATATGTTCATTGAAATAAGTTTGATACAATCTTCCTCATTGATAAATTTGACTAAAACGAGAAAAATGAACGTAGAAAAATAATGTGAATTTATAAATTACTCGGTATCTCATCAACTGCTTCACTCGTAAGGAATAATAATATTGATTAATTGAAACTGATCGGCTTAATTCATATAATCTTAATTGAATAAAGGCTACAAATATGGACGAATTATAAGAATGTTTAAATATTTACCCGCTAATTTATATAAAAGTTTTAAAGAACGTATTTTAAAAGTTCATGATGACAAATTTATTGAAAACAAAGATTGATGTCAAGTTGCGTAATAACATCTGTAGAGTTAGGTAGATAAACAGAGTGAAGTGAGTAAAGGTTAAAAAATGACGCAAAAATGCAGAAAATAAGTTATTGTTGGGAGGATCAAATAAAATATTGTACATAGAAGTTACACAGGGTAGTGCGAGATGTACAACTGGATCTTTTTAAATGAGTAGTTTCCTTTTCAGTCCTTTAATAGCGATGCCCATAATGAAACCTAATGAATCCAAAGTTGTGCGAGCATTGATTATTTTTGTATTGAAATTATGTACACTAACAATCAGTACGAGCAATCGCATTACTAAATTATTTTAGCATGTTTAGTCTCATTTGTTGTAGAATGTTCTGCGAGATGCGAAAAAAACTTTGTGTTCATTCTATGTAAATACTCTGGCATCTACAGGTAAACTGGTAATTACAGTTGGAACTAACATGAAGTTTGAAGTTATCTACCTTTGTTTATCTCAGTGACCCATTTGTTTGATGCAAAGAGACTAGTATGGTGGCTGAATGCATTATTTTCAATTCACCACTCAGTCTAAAACTAGCCGTGCCGCTTATTCCTTCACATTCTAGGCCAAATCGGAGGATGACGAGCTTTTATTCTATTGTAGCATATTCTTTTATGGTTAGCCATTGTCTGGCAGATCCTTTTCAACTTTAGTTCTCTAACCAAAGCTCTATTCAGGCCTATTGGACTATTTAAATTTGATTATAACCCACTTAAAGCGTCTATTCAATAAATACGTGTTTTATCTGTTCGTTTGCACTGAGCAGAAGTGAAATTATTTACGTAACATATTGAAAATATTGAAGCTTCATAAATCGAATGAAAATATGACATTTTTGCCGTTAAAAAATTGTTATTTTCATAGTTGACATTGAATCGATCTTGCACAACCACTAGTTGTTTAACGATGATCAGTCCGTGATTTCAACTATGAAACTTCATCAGTCTCCACAAACCCATATAGTAGGGAATGCTTTTTTAACGGCAAACGATTTGACACATGCTACTGACAGTTAACCTTTAAGAGAGGATAGCATATGTTGAACAGCTAAACAGAATTACAATCTTGTACAATTTGCTATAATTTTTATGCATAAAAATTGTCATCCTCCTCTTGGTACTAGTACTACATTACGTGTCGTGGTTGTAAATGTACTGTTTTTGTTGTTTTCTGTTCAACCATCTTATATTTATTTGAATGAGTAAATATATACTACGTCTTACTAAAATAGTAGGATATGATAGTAAAAATCTTAATACAACCAAGAAATCTCTAATTAATTGTTATTGTCTGAACTCTGCTTAAAAGCTCAAATGTCTTCCTACTTTTTGTCATTTTTGATATGTTGAAAGATGTTTGTTAGTTTGTAGAGTTGATTCACGCCCAGAAAATTATGTGGCTAGTATATAATTATGACAGTACAATAACTGTAAATCCAAGTTTTTTCTTAGTATGAATTAGAAATTCGTCAAAATTACAGACGCATCCAACTAATGATGAAATTGGATTTGTTTTAGAAGTAATAATTTCAGAAGTAAATTCACATGAAAAAGTTTTCGGAAAATAAATTTGTTTTTGTATATATTAACTATTATATCAAGTTAAATGAATTTGTAGAAATTTCTTTAATTCGAAAAAACTTTTCATAACGAATCGGCATCAGTTTGAAAGCATTCCAAGTCAAAAGGCACTAAAAATCTGTCATTGTTTCATCCTAATTTGAAACGTTCTAACAATGAATACCTGTGTCTCCACACTAAATAGATTCTATGTACTCCTTGATATTCAGTCTTCTTTCAGTTAGTAACTGTCTATATTCACATTAAGTATATAAATCTCCAAAAATCTATCGAAGTGACAATCTTTGCGAATAAACTCACGGAGTCCCAAGAGGTTAGTGTCTTTTGAGATCAACCATATTGGAATGGGGCGATCACTCCCTGATACCATTTTATGATTGCTCTACATCGTAAGTTAACTGTCGGTGAAAAGTGTATATCGTTAGTTATCGTCTCTAACCTAGTATTGTCATACTTGTCTTCAGACCTGAAAATCCTATATATTTTTTGTAGTGTCACTGGTGCAACAAATCATTCAATCCAAACAGTTATTCAGTACTTCCTGATTTCCACTGAATCTCCAGCTGATGTAAGCCTATGATGAGAATTAAAATACCTCCTAATTATTGATTATTTCCTTCTCCACATCACTTTTATTACAACATAGCCTTACCACTCTAATGCATGCTACTATGACTCCATATTTAACTTGTCGTTTCAAGGAAATATTCTCCAAACGTAAAAGTATCGAGTATTTTACTTTTTCAGAGTTATGTGATTAGAATAATTGTATTTCTTAGGCAAAAAGCAACTGATTGGTGTTAGTAATTTTTTTTTGAAATCATATTTGTTTTAGGATTCAATATTTGTATTAGTCACAGATATGGGTCTTCTCAATGAACCAAATATTGTTTGGGAGTTATTAAATGATTTAGATGGTGATACACAGTTTGTTGATTGTTCATTTCAATTATTTTGTCCAACAACATCTGATTCATCAATTCGAAAGACATCTGATGCTGTTCGTGTTATTACAATTAAATCGGATAAATTGGATTCAAAATCTAGAACCGATTGTAAAAGTACTAGTAATAGTAATAACAGTAAAGATAATTTTGTCGAAAAACAATACTATCCTGATTCCGTACCTGTGTATAATCTCAGTGAGAGTAATTCGACTTCACTAGAGTGAGTGCTTTTGATTTCATATGGAATTAAAACGACACAATATCGTTTTCAATCAGATTTTCATCAGGCTTTTAAACACTTTCGTACTTTTTAATTTTTAATTATCATGGTGATAGTTATTTAATCATGAATTGATTTTAGCTAGAACACCATTGAAAGCCAGGGAACATACAATAGCCGTTTCATCTTAGTATGGGGCTTCTCATCGGTGCACACGAATACCAGGGCCTTCAGCCTCGGGTGCGAACTCTTAACATTTTTAGACACTACCTCAGTAATTTAGGGGTTAAGCTTTTGTGTGCAAAACAATTCCTGAGTCTAATTCCATGTTGCGGGTGGGCACTGTTGAGAAGTCTCACACTAGGACGAAAAAACCGTCCAGTGCTTCCAGGATTTTGATGCTTATCCAAATAACATCTGTTGCGTGATTTAATAGCTTTGAGGATTCCACAATTTCCATAAACCTATACTGACTATCATGTTTATTTACGTAATCTATTTTGTGGTTATCATTGACTTACAAACTAACTGTCTTGATTGATTTAATATTTACACATAAATATTACTGCGCATTAGAGTAATAAGGTCTGATGAAAATCTTATTGAAAATAATATTGTTTGTCCAAATGTGTTATTCGAATTTAAAAGATAAGCATTTTTAATACATAGAATTATGTTTATTTGGGAATATTTATGCAATAATACAGATTTTTATTTTCAGTTGTGTAGTTTATAAAGAAAAGGAAACTTAGGTTGTCGTATAAGTTAAACTAGTAACTACTAAATCATTGATCTGTGAATCTATTAACTATTTTATTTATTGATAAAAAACTGTTTTGATTCAATTTAAGAAGATCGAAAGAGTATCCTACACGGAGTAGAATGATAATTTTGTAAAGGAATGGAAAAAAGAGGAAGATTGTATAATCAAATAGTAAATGAAAAACAATTGTAACTGATATCATGTACAGTTCAATTAACAATTTAACGCAGATGCTGAGGGGGTCAAACGTCTTAAAGATTGATCAGAAATATTCTTTTTACCTTATTGGTATCAGATAGGTTTGATATTATTTCCTTGAAGAAGTGGAAACTTGTTGGAATAGTTTGATTTTAATCACTGGAATTTAGGAAAATTTAATCTAATTTCATAATCGTTTCTATATACTCAGCGCCAAACATTTACGAAAGGTTTTTGCTCAAATCGTGTTTCAAGTTCATGTTAACAATATTCCGTACTTTTACTCTAATGAATAATTATTAGAAGGATATTCAAATGATACTTTTCATATTTATCCTATGACTATATACATCGGAAATTGGGAATTATTTGTTCAGTTAACAGTGTAAGGACACACACCCACATTCAATTCGACGATTTTCTATTGTTGTTTTCGTAGTTTTCAGTCGTATTGAAAGTAATATCGATATACAGTCACTACACTTCGGTAAATTTTTAGCGTCAGTGTCAAACTTACTGCTATAAAATTCAGTTCTGAAGTTTGGGGAAGAAGTTATGAGATGAGATGTTTCAGTTTACTTTCCATAGATAATGATGAGTGGTTTTTTGACAGATCATTTTTTGATTGTGTGACTGTAGATGGTACGATTGATTATCTGAGTTAATATGTGTTATATACTTGGCTGATAACTGTCCATGTAAAACCTAAATTATTGACTGAAGCCTCTGAAGTGCAGATACTGGAAGACAGGAAATGATACATTTCTACACTAAATGTACAGTATTAAAATTTATTTAAAAAAGTAAATGATTTTATAATTCTTACTAACCTATGAAATTAAGGCATGATTATCAAGTTTACATATTGCCCGTTATGTCAACTAGGATGTCCTAGTAGTGCAAGTGTAAAGCACAACAGTAAGAAGGAGGAATGTATTCATTTTGAGAAGCACTCTTATAATACGTTATACATAGCCTTCAATCTTCCATTTGCATCTTTCGGTGTGTTCTGTCATCTGAACTGTATTCTCGTGTGACCCCGAAGTGTTTTGCAAACTCCGTGATCTCAATGCACTGAAGCTCTTCACTCCATGTGACAGTTGTAGCAACTTCGACGTCATGTTCTTCTACACACTACCTACAAACAATCGTTTGAGTAGCGTTCATTACACAGATAGTAAATTTCCTGAATCTTAAAGCGTTCAGCAGAGTAGTTTATTATAGTCCACTTTATAAAATTACATCTTTTTTTTAATTGTTCAATATAAAACTATGGAATTTCCTGTTAAAAAATTTTCGAAGTCAATAATAGTTTTTTTTCAATGAGTTATATTTTAAGTAAATACCCTGGAACTAAGCACATTAATTCATTCTCCATCAATTTGTTTTCAATAATTTTCTTTTGTTACATTTTAGTTATGATTTATGCAAAATGCTTCAAGAAGAAGAAATCAGAGCTTCAAATCAAGATCCAGAAACATTTTGGAAATTATACAAATAAAATATTTACCTCAGTAAGTAGGAAAATACTAACTTAAAATAATTACTAATCAATTGTGAATAGTTTATGTTATTATATTGCATAAACGGCATTGCAATTTAGGACGTTCGTGTTGTTTTAGGGGTTAGGTTGAATTGGTTTGTTGGAAAAATTACTTTTTGATTAATTTGTATACTTTCATTACAGTTTAGTTTTATTTAAATTCCTCATTACTCTAAGACATGATTCAAATAAACCTGTTTAGCTTTTTGCCTACTTTAATCCACCTTGTATTCATTTATTGAATAAAATACATCTTATGAAGTAATAGTTTGTATGACAAGATATTCTATTTTGTATAGAATATGTTATTTGTAAATATATGTACCACTGTTTATAGTTCTTATTCCTATCAAGTGGAAGATTTGTTTTAATCTGATGGTTGGACTTGACTTTCACGGTGGCATCATTTGAATGAGGATGCTACTACTTTTTTGTACACCGCTATTTATACGTACTAACTTATTCAAATGTGAGTCTGTTTATCATAAGGTCGACCTTCATCATTATTAAATGATTGTCATAAGCAACGTAGAAGCATGTAAGTGTGTTGGCTGTTCATGTTACCACATGCCATCAGTACAGCGTGATGAAATTGTCAAGGTAAGTACCAGAGTAGTAGAGGTAGTAACAGTATCAGTAATAATAAAAGATGTTCGAGAAGAAAAGTATAAATTGGTGAAATAAAAAATACTTATAAAGTAGTTAGGTAATTTAGAAATTTAAAATCTAATCGAAGACAAAGCAAATGTGCCTGCGCCATTGTGAACGATTTTGAACCATATCACCCAAAGTCTTTGACTATTCGGTTAAGATAGTCGGACAAACCCATTCGTTGATCGTAGGAAATCATTTCCAAATATACTAAGTACTAAATGAAGCCATAATAGATATGATACCATTTTTCTATCATAAGATTTTACTTCTATATAGAAAAATGTGACATCAACTTTCTTATTTGATCTTAAATGTGAAAAACTAGCACAGAATTTGCTTTCAGCTAAATCTTTTATTAATAAAGTGTATCGAATTTTCCAACTGACAACTGTCGTATTTTATCAGTCAAAAACGTAGAATAACAACATTCTCGTATGGTATCTTGGTTAATCTATATTGTATTTTTTTCATATGTCATTTTATTAACTCTTTTAGGTTCATTTAGTCGGTTTCGGACCACATTTTTTTCATATAAGAACTAGTGATACTTGTTGAACTATGCAAATCAAGATAAATGGGTTCGACGGTCTGAACCTGTGTTAGTTGTTATTATTAGTAGTAATGGTTTTATCCAGTATTATATTTGGTACAATATGGAATGCCCAGCAGAAATAATGAGCCATAACTTAAAAAACGACAAACCAAAACTTTTGTGCCAGATTAAACCAAGTAACTAATTTTCTAATAAACTATCCGTTAATTTCATCCGGCAATAGACATTAAAAATGCATATTATGCTAATTAAATATCTCCAGTAGTAATTAATAATGGGATTAGGTGAATGACTCATTAGACGTTCAACTTTCAGATCATCAGACTAGATTAATTGGGGATCGATCGCGTACCGACCAAATCGCGACACTACAGTTTATCGTTGAACAATCAATTTAATGGAACTCATCTCTGTACATCAACTTTCTTGACTTTGAGAAAGCGTTTGACTGCGTGGATAGGAGAACATTATGAAACGTTCGACACTATGGTGTACCTGGTAAGATCGTCAACATCATACGGGATTCATAGGACGGACTACATTGCGATGTCGTTCGTGGGGGCTAGCTCACAGATGCATCGGAAGTGAAGATTAGTGTCAGACAAGATTGCTTCTATTTTCCTTTCTATTTATTCTGGTGGTTGACTGGATTATGAAAACCTCGACATCTGGGGGGAAGCACGGAATGCAATGAACAGTTTGGATACAACTAGACTATTTGGACTTTGCAAATGATCTGGCCCTCCTATTCCATATACAACAACACATGCAGGTCAAGACAACAGGTGTAACGGCAGCCTATGCATCGGTAGGCCTTAACATGCACAGGGGAAAATGCAAGATCCTCAAATAAAACGCAAAGATTGACAACCTAATCACACTTGATGGAGAAGCTCTGGAAGAGGTGGAATCTTTCACCTACCTGGGAAGCATCATCGATAAACAAGGAGGATCCGATGAAGACATAGAAGTAAGAATGGGAAAAACAAGAGCCATATTCCTACAGTTGAAGAACATATGGAACTCAAAACAATTATCTATGAGCCAACATCAGATTGAGAATTTTCAATACGAGTGTCAAAACAGTTCTACTGTACGGAGCCGAAACTTGGAGAACTACTACAACCATCATGAAAAATATACCAGTATTTCTAAACAATTGTCTATGTAAGATGCTCAAAGTCCGTTGACCGGATGCCATCAGCAACAGCCTACTGTGGAAGAGAATAAACCCGTCTCGAGCTGAAGAGGAAATTAAGAAAAGACGTTGTAAGTGGATAGGACACATATAGAGAAAATCATCAAACTGCATCACGAGGCAGGCGCTAAATTGGAGTCCTGAAGGGAAACGGAAAAGCGAAAGGTAAAAAACCATGTTATGACGCTTATCGAATTCGAACATCAAAATAATGAATAGCACTCAGAAACAACTGAAAAGGAAACCTTAGGACAGAGTTGGTCGGAGAATGCTTGTGGGCGGTCTATGCTCCTCCACGAAGGTTAAAAGGTGTAAGTAATCAAGTAATTTATAGTTTTCTCGTTTTTATTAAATAAGTAATAAGAAGTGCAATATAAATTTAAAGAAATTCCAACTAATTCTTTTGTTAGTTATGGAACGACAATATATTCTTTATCTCCATACTTATAAATGTTCAGTAAAATGTTACCATTATATTAATATTGTTTTCATTTTCGTTTTCTCACTCTCTTTTCCAACTTATTTACAGGCTTGTATTTGTTCTTCCTCTATGCTTCACATTTTTTTACGTGAATATCGTCATAGTGGTTAGTAGCCGTTCAATATAAATAATTAGTTACTAACTAATAACATTTTCCTGAGAATTATCGATATATATATATATATATATATATATATATATATATATATATATATATATATATATATGTGGATAAAACCTCAAATTGTAGAATACATCACCAAGATATTCAAAATCAGATTCATTTAGTATTGTTTTTTTCCATGTCTGATTTATATTGCTATTATTATTTTTATTATTATTTTTTATTATAAATCTTCTTATACTTTATATATACGTAAATATTTCTCACTAGTTTAATCACCTGCTATTATTCATTATTAGTGCCAATTGCACAATAGTAACAATATGATGTGAATTTTGACAGCAATGATTATAAAAAATAACTCTTGTTAAAAAACAATACCTCTTTCATTTGTTATACTTATTACTCTCTATTAAAGAAAACTTATTTTCTCTTATACATTCGTTTCACTTGATATCACTTTGAAAATTTGGTTTTTTAGTTTTTATTTCAAGAGTCCATTTCTGTTTTGTGATAGTTGTTTACTCATAGATTTTTATTTTCTTTGTATCTTGTCGTTTTTCTCCCATCTCTTGCCTCTGCACATTTCTAGAAAAAAAAAGAGTGAAAAGCCATGAACATTGCACAGAGTTATTGTGATGATTATTTTTATAAAACCGAAAAAAAAAGAAATAAATTAAACATTTACTCTTTTCGTCTTTTCTAAACTTTCACTGCTGCTCATCTTTATTCCATGAAGAGAAAATTGCAAAATATTAATTAGTGTATTGTTTTTTTTTATAAATTCAATGTAGATCTTCCTATTTACTATCATTGTGTTGTGTTTTGTTTGATTTCTTTTTTTTTTCTAAATATTTATTAAACAATTTATAATTTGTTTATTTTTCAACCATATATTCAACCATTGTTCTCTATCATCATGATAATAATGATGAAAATGATTAGTTTGTAAACTGATTTTGTTAACAATAAAATCAGTATGCATATATTCATCAGTATTATCTGGTTATGTACTTCTGTTTTTTTTCTTCATTTGTTTCTCTTCTCCTTTCTACATATTTACTCACATTACCCGTAAATGTAGATTTTTTTTTACAGAAAAATCGTATCATTTTGTTTTCCCACTTTTTTTCTGTGTATATACACAATCATTACCATTATTGTGTGAAGTACATTACGTATATATAGACTACTTAGATATATGAATATATTGATAATGATGGTATCTACGTTATTTTTTTCTTTGTTTCCTTGTTGTTGGTTATTTGCATGGTTACTTATGTATTTTTTTCTTTTCAGAATAAACAGCATACTAAAGTATTGTTTTATTTTTCAATATGAATGAATTTTAGTACATTACATAATGTTTTTTGTTGTATAGTTCATATTCTAATTTATTTGACCTATTGTAAGGTTTGTTATTGATTGTTGCCTTATGACTACTATTAGTACTATTCAGTGTTCAGAAGATGATCGATCGGATTATATTTGATGATCTTCAATATTATATAATTAAAAATAAAATTGTTTAGTTAGGTAAGTGTACATGACATTAAACAACACTGCTCACATATATCAATTTGGGTTCAGTATGAACACACATATACACGTAAATTTCTTCCGAAAGGTGTCCTATGCATTTATGTAATTAAGTGAACTTGTGAAACAGAACGATCAATAAATTCGATGTTATATATATAAAATTATTTTCCTAAGTAGATTAGGAAATAACATTTGTTTACTTGAATAACTTGCTATTATTTAACTTTTAAAAAAGAGTTTATCATGGAAGGACATTGACTTTGTCCTTGTTAGAAGTTAAACTACATCTACAGAATTAAAACAAGCATTTTTAGGTTTTTCATCCAGTATAATACTTTTAAATCGCTGAATTGGAATCCAGTCTCCTGTGTTTTCATAACTACAAAAGTATCATGTTCATCACATGACGCGACTGTATTACAGTCCATGAATTAAAACAATTGAGAAGTCCAAAACTGAATTGAAGTAGTTGTTCAGCACACACACTCACCCATATATAGTCATTTTGAAGCTGATTTCATCAGCGATAGAAGCTAATTTCAAAAAGAATTTAGTTAAGTGCATTGCTACAATTTTATTGAAATGTATAATTTAAGGTAATTATTGGCAGATACCGAAACTATCTGAAGTTATCCATATAAATCTTAGGATAAACTGTTTGTTATTATCATATTGGTTGGATGCTTGTTTCAAATCTTGCTCTTCGTATTACTGTGGCTTTATTAATCTTAACCTGTTATTGTCAATATCGTAATCATTCTGAAACTTATTGGCTGGTTCTATTTAGAAAGATTTATTGCACACCAGTTTATTTTTTCAACAGATTAGTCACATTTTTGTGAAATCATTTTTAAGTTAAGCACTTCTTCGTCCTAATTTTTAGAGCATTTAAAATGATTGTAGTACTGGATTTTTAAAACTGTAACGTTGATTAAACTTACTGCTCAGTGTTCAACACGATAACTACTACTTTTGTGTATATTATTGTCCTTTTAAAACTTTTTAAGCAGACTTCCAATGACCTGTTGTTTGTTTACATCTCCACTTTCTACCCATAGAGAGTAACTTAGTTCTAGCATCCAGAAATTATAATATACACATGTCATTACCACTTAAAAAGCTTTTTTAGTCATTTTTTCGATTTAAACATATTTCTATGTATTTTACTAGATGTAGGAAAGTCACATCAGGAGGCCCACTTAGATATCAGTTCGGGGATGAAAATGTGAAAGATATATAAATATTTAATCGATCGTAAAGAAACAATTCATTCTGAAAAAGCCTGAAAAGATATCCAAACAACTTTAAATATAGTAATTATATCTATCGATAAATTAGTTCAAAAGGTTATGAAAGTCCAATGAGCATCTACTAAAGTAATAAATTCTCAAAAATTATCCTGACAGGCTTGGGGGACGGTGAAGAGTGACAACTCAAAATCAAACTAACAACGGGTTCATATAATAATTACGAGCATTGGTTGGGCAACGAAAGCAAAATAGATGGAACAGGTAGTGCAATAGGTAACACTAGGCAACTCTACTGACTGAACAAGCAAACAGGTATTAAAAAAGCAGGTGTTAGTAAGGATCTTTTGGAAAAGGACGGATCTACCATTCACTCTCAATCTATGAAATTCGATACATGGGTGGAACACTTCGTGTAGCAGTTCGACTGATCTTAAGCTACCCTTCAGTTATCCCCAAATGCCCTAGTATGGCCGAGGGTGCGGGGGTTAGCTCTCCATCTCGCAATGCTCTCAAATAGCCACACGTATACAACCACTGCCAAGGAATTCCTATTCACTGCCTTCTCGTAGCGGGGGTGTTGTTTACGAAGTTGAGAGGACGAAAAGCGAGTGTTCGGCGCTTTAACCCGGTTGGTGGACTCAGAGGGCTCACCTAGGGGAGTTGGAAAACCCTGATTCCAAACCGATGGTGAACATAGGCTCCAGTATCTTGAGGGAACAAATGGCGTATAAAGCAATCGTTGGTCACCGGCTAACATGGGACTGCATCTCCTGACGCTGCCATGTGAATCAGACCTTTGTGTCGAAGGCTCGGGGTGTGGTCCCCTAAGAAAACCACCTGCTTCGATCTGGGCACCCGGTCAGTATCACAGCCCGCACACAAATCAAGTGACTTGTGTGGCTCTTGTGTATTCGGTTTCCCTATGTACCAATATTTATGTGTTCAAATAAATAAATATCCCTAATAAACTCGAATGGGAAATTTACAAAAGTCCCTTAAATTACTGACCACTTACTATAATTGTATTCCTTGATAATAATGCAGCATTTTACTCTGTCGAGCAAGAGGTTATATGTCAATGTTTACCATTGAAATAAGTACATACACCTGATGTAAACTATCTACCTAGATACTACCAGTCGAGTTATATCCTAGTGATCATAGATGTCCCCTCAGAAATATACTTTCGCTCCCTTAAATTACTGACCACTTACTATAATTGTATTCCTTGATAATAATGCAGCATTTTACTCTGTCGAGCAAGAGGTTATATGTCAATGTTTACCATTGAAATAGGTACATACACCTGATGTAAACTATCTACCTAGATACTACCAGTCGAGTTATATCCTAGTGATCATAGATGTCCCCTCAGAAATATACTTTCGCTACCTAAATTTTCAGGGGTGGCATCTCAGGATGTTCTCTTGCTGACTTGGAACACTCAGCTGACATAATTCTATTAAGCGACAACACCGATAAAATGCAGAGTTTTCTTATCTTCATGAATGATAACGTTAGCATGTTTAGGATGTGTTTTTCTCCCTCTAAATACAGAGTGATGCTTCAAGCATTTTCTGTTTCGACTGTCGAACTTGTAATGGGAGTGAAGCAGCTGAGTTCTTTGACCGTTTCGTCAGCCCTGGAGGGTTTGTATCCAAAGAAATCTTGGAATGAATTCAAAAAACCCTGTTGGTTCCTGTCAACATACGTCACTCGTGGCGTAAGCGTAATGTCTATTTCCCAATTAAAGGGTGTGTATACTGCTCTGTTCTCCCTTGTGGCTGTGGAACATAGTCTATGGGAGCTTGGAGTGATTCACATCTGTGCTAGGTTCTGTGATGATGACGTTTGTCTGTCTGCCAATGTATCATGTTAAAAGTGTTTAATTATTTGTGAAATTAATGAAAAAAAGATATTTACTACTCAATCGACCAATAAAATACGTCTAGACAATAAACTCCCAAACTCATTTCAATCTATATTGTTCGCTTTTTGCTGGGTCTTTTCTCTCAATAAACGTTGATTTTAATTGTACCTGTGATATATATTGTTGTTCTCACAATTTTGGCGAGAGATTATCTAGCCGTGATTTTGTAACTCAATTGACACTATGCCTTTGTTGGGTTAAATGAAATGTATTTAATAATTATTTTGAAATAATGTTTCCATAATTTCATTTTGAAACATTGATTACTAAAATAGTTTATATGTTTAAATCTTGACCATATTGTTTTTATCATTGGTCAGAATGATAATTCACTTTCTTGTTAGTTTCAGGTTTTCAGTTATTACTATGAACTAGCAAAACAACTTTTTGAATCGTGTATATAGTTTATTAATTGACCTTCATATTCACAAATTTGTTTTATTTACTTATTTGAAGTATTTAATTTCTGTAAGAATGTCAAGTTTTGTGTTGTTTTTATTTGAAAAATAGGTTTAATCTTTCAGTCTAAATACTGTTTATCATTGTTTTATTGAAAAGATACTTTGAGGTGACAAAAACATGCATCAATGTATCTCAGAATAAACTGAAATCATGCTTCGTCTTTGTTCTCATATTCATATATCGTATGGTCGTTTCAGAGTGTTTTCATGTAAACACTCTAAAAAGTATATCCATTCTTCTATTCCTATTATATCTCAAAAGATAACTTCATTGTCTATTAACCAAACAGAGTATGCTAAGACGTTAGCAGATTCCTTAATTCAAGGTAATCGTTATAGTTTAGCAAGAGCAATTACACTTTTGGAATCTTCTAAAGCTGAACGTCGTGCTGAGGGTCAATATATTCTTGATGCAGTAATAAAACATTTGGCGCACCAAGAACTTAAAACTGGAAAGTTTACATTCAGAATTGGTAAGTTAATTTTTTTGTACTATTCTATCATTCATTGCTTAAAAAACATCCTGTATATTCATTCATATATCAGCACATAAAGTCATTTAAATCAATGAAGGGGGTTGTCTAAATATAGTATCCTGATGTGAATTACAGACGCTTGTTCAAACTTCCCTTCCAAAATCCTGTCTCACACGTAATAACTCAGTCCGGTAATTCTTGTATTTTTCTGTTTGAATTTCGCTTCACAGCTTTGGGTTTATATACTATGTTTTACTGTGGCCTACGGTAATTCCTAATTGCGAACGGTTGGAATATTCTTCTAATGCGAAACCTGATCTGCACGGACTCGATAGATCGGCCGACTGACGTACGACACTTCAACAATAATCATTAACGCGATGGGAGACAGAGGTCATAGAAGTAAAAGAAATACTTGATATACAAGAAGACAGTTTTATGATGTAGCAACTCTCCATATATCAACCGACAGCGCCCTTGGGATACAACAAAATTAGTAAACTAAAAGTGAGAACAAACAATTGAATTACAGGTTAGTGTGGAGATATGAATTTGAAAAGTACTATCGCGGTTATGTTTAAGAGAAATAACTCATTTAACAAAAAACTAGATTAGTTGAGTTCTTACTAACATTGTGTCATCTGAGTTGTATCACTAGTTGTCATGATGATTGTGACTTAATCCAGTTACATAAATAGGTAATTGGTTACATAGTTTTCAGTATGCAATGTACTCATAACTAAATTTGCTAATTTCTCACATTTTGTTCTTCAGTAGTTTTATTTGCATATTTGACCAAAATATTTCCAACTTCCTAACTAATTTAGCTGCTTTTTAATGAAAAATAATGTTTTGAGTTTTTATTGTGTTACTGTCATTATTATTCATTGACTTAAGGTGGTCAACTACTAACGTCTGTTACCAAGTGAAACCAACCTACATAATATCCTATGAAATTTCAATGTTATATACACTGAATGTCATTCTTAAACAATATACTACTTACCATTTGCAATTTGTTTTGAGATTAAGAGGTAATAATATAGTGGACCGAAAAGTATAAGTACAAAAATATTTATAAAGTTACTCAAAACGAATGTGCATAAACAAGTCAACTGTATTAATAAAGTCAAAATATGATACTAGAACAAAAAGGCCGTTCAGTGCCTCCATATTTTCAATGGTTTTTTAACTTAGATCTGTTCGTAATCTTAAAGAAATCTCCACAACTCCGTACTGATAATTATCACGTGCACACTAGTGACTAGCTTCAAGAGAAGATTTCCAGAGTCCTAGTAGGAGACCATTGCCTAAGGAGTTCGATATGCAATAGCAATACAGCGGGCTACTTATTAAATTTCTAGCATCCGCGTGTTCATAAAGTCTGGATGTAATTTCTCAGTTATGGTACGGGATTTTCAAACACGAGGAATTCGATTTGACTGAGATGTTAGGATATATAATTTACCAGAATATTGTTGAGGAGGAAATTGTTTGAAAAATGTGTAACAATTATATTAGAAACCTGATTATGTAACAGTAACAGAGGAGAGAACGACGAGAGTGCGTAATGAAACAAGTGTATGATCATACGGTAATCTATATAGTTATCAAAATAACAAGGACAGTTTTATACCGACATAAATAACGTTTTTGGTCGATATTAGCAATTGGACAACTTAATGAAGTTACAAAAAATGTTAGTAACCACAAAAATTTTATGAGTGAGGTTAATAATACTTATCTTTATAAGTATAATGTTGTGGAGATTGTTCAGTCTCACTGAAATCAGTAAAGTTAACCATCTTTTCTCAGCTATATATATATATATATATATATATATATATATATATATATATATATATATATATATATATAAGCATGTTGGATAATGGCATGCCATGTATGTTAATACACAAACTTATTGTTCTTGTATGTTGTTGACCATAGCAAAAAGGGAAAATGTTAATTATATGAATTCCTAACAAAAAGTAACGATGGTATATAACTCTGTAGTCAACACATACACACTTATTGATGATATAACATTAATTACTGAATGTTAGTCAAAAATATGCACACAGACTAATAAATATGCTGTTCTAGCTAAAACCAGTTCGTGATTTCAACTTTGAAAATTCTACTCTTTCAAGAAATCCTCCAATATATATGTTCATTTAATTGAAACAACTTATTGTTGTCACAACCCTGTAAACTCAGCAATACAGCTTCACCCTCAGACCTTAAGTTTTTGTTTCTAGACTTACTATTACTCGGACAACCCTCCTGGGACGGTAGAACCTGAAAAATTTCAGTCAATATAGCTTGATTAGAACATGATGACATGACAGCGCGATCACCAATTCAAAATAACAGTTACGATCAGTCCTCGAAGCACTGAATGCGTTTCCAGGAATGACTGAGTGAGCGATATTAAGGTTAAGCATTCTGTGCTTTACAGAGGTGGGGAGTCGATAGGTGTAGTTGTAAATCTTCATTGACTGACGTGGTTAAGACATATGTTTCGTATGCTCAACTATCACTCTCCTCGACGAGCAACGCAATGCTTGCTAGTTCAGATATCGTTTTGAAGCAGTCTACGAGAAGTCAAACCATTAAGTGGACAATCATCTTTCATATATTCGAATGAATTTTAAGTTTTCGGGAGAAGCTGTACTGCTGAGTGTACAGGGTTGTGACAACAATAAGTTATTTCTCTAATGAACAGCATCTGCATCGATGCTGCCTCCTCACAGCAGAGGGAGAAGTTTCGGAATCCCCGACTCTGAAAATATCTCACCCAATGGATTACTGTCTTCTTCAATAGATCATTTTGAAGTGCAATGCTAACACATAGAAAATTGTCACAAAACTTCTATGTAGCCTGTGTCCAAAATGTCTCTTTAGCTCTACGGTCAGGCTCTCAGGTTGCCAAAACTACCACTGGTTTAGTTTCCCTTTCAGGTACCCCTTAAAGAAATATTTTTCCACGGTCTGGGTAACTGAGAAATAACAATTTCCTTCATACCTCTAACAGTATGCAACATCGCCTCGTTCGTAATAAAACCCTATCTTTATCACCAAATATTACTTTTACTTATATTATCAACTTTCATTATGATGGTGAACAGATGAATTGACAGTTATACAAAGAAGTAAATAATTAATCAATAAAATGTACAAAATATTTGTATTTATTTATTGTTCCACCACTTCTAGTTGTACAGTTAGATTTTCCGGCGACATGATTTTTAATTTAAGCTTTCTGTATGTCGGAAGTAAAAGGCTGCTTGTCTGTCTTAGTGCTGCCTTCCTGCTCACTATCGAGGAAAGCCAGTTTAAGTCTGTCTATAGAGGCTTTCTATCTGTGCTTATGAAGTATTTTTCGGCGCTTTCTGTCACTATAAGGTCCTTCATACGTTGGTTTTAGTAGGTTTTTATGGCATCGACTAATAAAAAAGAATCTACTCGTATTTAATTGTTTGTTAACCTGCTCGCAACGATAACTGTACAGATTAAATGAAATTTCTAAAAGCATGACTTATAGAAAACATTGTTTGCGACATAAGTTCAAGTTGACCTTCTCTGCAATCGTTGTCTCATATTGATTATCAATATCTGTACTTTATCTATTAAACTTACGCTTTATGAACTATTACATCCTTGATATGTCTACCCACTAATATGCAGAAGATAACTTGTCTCAATTTAGGTTTAGACCCTGACATGATAAGCTTACTGGTTCAACCTTGAGGCTAGAATCGCATGAGTTCGAAGTTAGACTAACTGCCTTGAGTAGAGAGACGAAAACTGCTCTCTCTGTTGATTGGTTGACAAGCTAGAGAGAGAGAGAGATAGGAGACGAGTCACCTGAAACTACTTGATTTATTCCTAATTCCGACTCACACTCCGATCCAAATTAGCACAAAAAGATGCATGAATAAATAGATAATGTACAAACAATTCGAAAAATACTGTCCTGTTTATAACTGGGGATTAGGGTAGGAAAATAGAGTAGCCAAAGTTACATTTAAATCACAATAACTTTGTGATTAAAAAGGGTTTGTCAGTGAATCATACATCAAAAGAAAGATTATGGTTTTCAGAATAAACTACGGACAAAATTAAATGTTAGTTTTACAAGGTTTGAATTGATTGATATAACGTCCCTCAAAATAGCTTCCGCTGCTTGTCAAAGCTTTTTTTCTCTGTTCGCATCACGAGCCTTTGTTAAGTAACGTTATCTCAAGTCATATGGTGCGTAATAATTAGTTAACTAATCATAATCCAACTGATTTATAAAGTACATGTTAATGTAGTAGGCTTAGAGTCACACTCTTCGTAAATGTTCTAGCGATACTTCCCGGCTACTCAAATCGAAATAGAGGATGCAGGGTCAGAACATACAAACTATATCTTGGAAGTCGATGGATTGACTAAATTTTGCAAAAATGCACTGATTTCTACTTTTTTTAGTGAAATTTATCTAGTATTATTGATTCCCTTTCAAGGTCTCTCTGGCCCACCAGGTGCTGGGAAAAGTACATTTATTGAAGCATTTGGTGGTCGCCTTACAGGTAGTAAACCATGGAATCCTGTAATTAATACTTCTTATAAATCTTATGGTAAACAGCGGTTGACACTAGACGAAGAACATTTCAATCAAGAAATCAGAAAACTTCATCGTGTAGCTGTCTTAGCAATAGATCCTTCTTCACATACAACTGGTGGTAGTCTCTTGGCCGATAAAACTCGAATGCCTGAATTATCCAGTAATATGAATGCCTACATACGACCATCCCCTAGTGGTGGAAATTTAGGTGGTGTTGCTCGTGCAACTAGTGAATCCATCCTACTATGTGAAGCTGCAGGATTTGAAACTGTCCTCGTAGAAACTGTTGGTATGTTCGTGTTTGAATTTTGTAGTTTCATATTCCTTGTTTTTTCGTTTAGAATTGTGAATAGATTCAAGATGTTAATAAATCGAAATGTAGGGGTGATATATTGGTTTACATCAATTGAATTTTAAAAGAGATCAGTATGTCTTCAAAGTGAGCTACGTAGTTCCGGTACGTTAATAAATGGAGTGTTCGTCAATGAAAAAATTAATTTACAATGTTTGGTCAAGTTAAACTATGTTTAAAGACAGACAATTTCGTGAAAATTTTTGCATTAATAAATCGATAGCGATGATTGTGATCTCCACGTATTATTTGCCACTGCCATTAGACGTAATTTTCTTCCAATTTCATATGGAATATGTTTGGAAATGAATGAACTAATTTGATGTCATGAGGTTTGAGGCATATATGGGGATTCCTGAACCTAAGTTACTTGCTGATTGGAGCTCATAATCACAGTGTATCTTCAGTTTTGAGGGGATTGTTACCCTCTGTGAGATCCGAACTTGCATCACCCAACATTACTTGGAGATGTTTCCACTAAGCTACGACCGATCTGTGGGACTGAATTAGCTCGGCTGATTCGTCATTGAGTAACAGTCCCCTTGTAATTTGATCGACAGTCTTCCGTTGACATCAATGACTAAACATATCATTCTTTATTACAAATAACTAATTTAAAATGTAACTCATGAAAAAAACTTTATGTTATTCATAGTTTAGTTGTATTTATTTTGATTTTCAGTATAATCATTTACAAAGTACTTTCTTAAAAAACAACTGCAGTGCTCCTGATGCGTCAACGTAGTTGTGGTTTTTCGACTGGATGCAGTTCCTTAGAGGGCAGTCCTCCTGTGAATTTTGCTTATATGCTTCATTAGTTAAAATTTAAGATATTATGTTCGTCAGAATCTGTTCCACATAAATAGCTGTCGAGTAATTGCTAGATTTGATCAAGCCTGTAATTCTTGTCACTACGTGATGAAAGTTGTTCTTTTAGGTATATAGTTTTACTTCTGAGTTATGCAGCCTAATATCTGTAATGAATTCTATCGTATGGCATTTCTACAACTGAATCCTAATTGAAAATTCCCTTTAGAAATTTATATCTTCATAAAATTCGGAAATTTTTACGTACATCGCCTAATTGTTTGAACATAATTTGTCCCCTTATGATTCTAGGTGTTGGACAGTTAGAGTTCGCTGCTGCAGATATGGTTGATATGTTTGTTTTGATTATTCCTCCTGCTGGAGGTGATGAATTACAAGGCATAAAACGAGGGATTGTTGAAGTTGCTGATCTGGTTCTAGTGAATAAAGCAGATGGTGAACTATTGCATCAAGCTCGTCTTATTGCTAAAGAATATTCGAACGCTCTCAAATATATGCGTTGTCGAAGACCTAATTGGATTCCGAAAGTAAACCAGTTACTTTATTTAACTTATAAAATACAAGAATTAAAAATAGGAAGTAATTTAGATTCACTAAATATTTCAAAGTCTTGACCCGTGCGAAATAATTAGCATCCACTCTATGGCGATTGGTCATTAGTTGGGATTCAGTGATCTGAATATTTAACTCATTAATCCTAATATGCTCAACGGCATTTCATTACAAGAATTAAAAGTCATTAAGTTGTAAACACTAAATTTTCACTACTTGACGACAGACAATTGCTTGTTTTATCGAAGCAAATTTTTTTAAAATATGAAGCAGTGCATTTCTCTCTTCATGAATCTTGATTAAAAAAATCTGTTCTCTGTCAGAAGTTATTTATTCAAACAAGTAATCACTGTTTTTAAATTGCCGAATACATTTAATTATCTGTATAGTCTTGAATATTTACGAAAAAAATACATCTCAATATTGGTACATGTACATGAATCACCTGAATACCATAATATCCTAACGACTCAACAGTTAAATCTTTAGTAGTTCTACACTAATTTACTGTTATTTATATTACATAAAATGTTTTCATTTTTAGGATATTTCAAGAAATTCATTGTTATTTGTAAACCTTGTAGGAGTAGGCTGAAAGAAGGCTAAGGGCGGCCAAACCATGGCATTAGTCCATGAAATCATTAACAAATATACTGAGCCATGTTAATAGGTTCAGACTTCCTGGTTGGGGTCCATTTCATTATCGTAACCAGTGTTTCCAGACTTTAAATGACGTGGCTCAAAATCGCTTTCCTAAAGTCATGAGCTTCTTAATTCCTCATAATTGTTTTTATTTCACTAATCTATATCTTCCTCAATTGCGTCTTCGATGCCTAATCTCTATCATCACTGATACTGTAAATACATCTGCTACTGTGGGAGTTGGCCTGACATTTTCGTTTCGGTGTGCCAAATGGGGTGTGGCAAGTTTGATCGATATACACACGTTCTAGGTTGCAACTGACTGACCGATAAACCCTGTGAAACATGTTTATTCATTCAGCAGTTTTGTCATATACTTGAAGTTTAAAGTTGATTTATGATCAAATAGGTTTGAGAATAATGACATTCGAAAAACATAACATAAAATTCTATCTGTTAATTCGATCAGCTACAACGTAAGACCAGGCACAATATACATCTGTTAATTCGTCTTACAGTATTCTTATTCTAATAAGTAATAAAGAATTAACTGTTCGTATCACTGATCTGAGAAAAGAACTGAAGCGTAAGGATTATTCGACATTAAGTCGGTTTTCACCACTAACTAGTATTATCTAGATAAGTACTTGTTACCAGGAAGTATTGAAAAAATGCTTTACCTTCGTTTAGAACTTCTTAGTGGTATACACCACTAATTTCATGCTTGATTGTACCCAGGAATTCCAGGTATCTCTGTGAGTGTGATACTTTTTTGATAAATGAGTTAAAAATCTAATGGTCTGCATTTCCAGCACCCAATACCATATGTGGTGTAAGTTTCACTGAGAAATAATCTCGAAATAGAACTTAACTGTAAAGTAACTTTCTGATTTTTAAATGATTTCTTTGTTGATATTAGCCACGTTTAAAACTAACTTCAAATCCATTTTATCTTCAGTAACTATTAATATAAGTTAACTGAATAATAATTCTTCACAATTGTTTTTTCATACTTGTATAAAACCAAATAAGGTACAACTTGTATCCAGTCTAACAGGTGATGGACTTATTGAATTTTGGTCTACAGCTTTTAAATTTCACCAATCACTAATTAAATCAGGTGAATTACAGAGAATACGAAAAGAACAATTGAGAGTGAGTTAATTCAATTAAATTTAGGTTTTCAACGTTTTTTTCTATATTATTTTCTACTCCGTTTTTTCTTTACCCTAAATAATTAGTTCATGTAACTCACCAACTTCAAATCAGTGTACTTATCACCGAGGTACAATTTAAATATGAAAGCTTAATACTTTTGTAGTGACTGGTGCAATGTCATGTTCACATAGGCTATCCTAGCTTCTGGAATAACCAATTTATCCATTCTTCTCAAGCTACATTTTTCCCTTGTTGATTATTCGCTTATCAACCTTGAGTGTTTTTATGTAAGCGTGTGTGCATTTCTTATCTTATTCATCACGTCAGTGGCTTATTTTTGTTTGACTATAAATATCGATTTACGCTTGGTTAAATGGAGTTGGCTCACATACCTACTCCTATCCGTTTTGCTTCTCTCTCATCTTCGCTTCATTTTCTTGGTTGTCTGTTCAGATCAAAGATTGTATGAAATACACGTATTCGAAATACATTCTCGTATTTGACTTATATAATTCCGTTATTCACCAACGTGATTTAAGTCGATCGTTATGTACGAGGATCGGCGACATGTATATTTTAATAGCAATCATTCATACGATCGAACTGGAGTCATATATATGACCACTAAACTCCTACTACCTGGCCTCATTAATCATACTGAATTAAAGTATTTGGACCTGCAGTCTCCTTATTAAAATTTTCAGGTTGGAAATACCACTCATTCATCTACCAATTTGCACATAAATAATCTTAAATTGGTTAAATGATATTATTTTATTGCCAGTTTTTTATAACTTACTACAGAATCGTCTTAAATCATTCTAGTTAATTCAATGAAGTATACTGTTGACTTATTGTATATACATTGATATTATTTTTTTCTCCAACAAAAATATCATTTCGTGATAGGAGAGTATCACCAAATACTTAATTAAAGTATCTTGAAATGAATAAATTGATACTGATAAGTTTGATAAACGATTGCTTGATCCGACATCATAGGCGCATTTAATAACCATCAGGCTATATATACACAACTTGAACACAAGAGAAAAGGCGCAAAGTGCAAAATGAACGCTTTACTCCGAGGTTGATTGATACACAGAAAAACGAGAGGCTGCTGGAAATTTCTGGAACCGTGCTAAATATAGTAGCAGTATAGGGTAATGTCCAGTTAGGGACGTGACTTCAATCTCTAGATGTCTGTCTAATACTGATTGGATAAAACTTTGGGGAAGAGGGGCTCTTATGGGCTTTTCTGAGGAATACTTTGGAACTATTCAAAATTAACTTTAAAAATTTATAGTTTATTTGCACATGTATGCTGATTTAAATTTCTTTGGAACTTCTGTATTTAATGTATGCTAAAAAAATTTCCGATTTGACACCATCGAATTTCTTTATTTGTTTATTTACCAACCATAATTCTTATGTTTGTCGTAAACATTATTAGGTTTGTTGACTCATTTTTCATTTTAGAAATGGATAAAATTTATCAAGTCAAATAGCTTAATTGTTATGACTTTCGATAAGCTGAGACTCAATGGTCTGGGGAATAGTTTATAATTGCATATGTAGGAAATTACTATTTACAGTTGTGAACCAATTTAATCATATATCTTTGATAAACCAGCTATTGGAGATAATGTTTTTGTGAACTTATATTCAATTCAAATCATTATTTGATTTAGAATAGATGGATTGGGTTTTGCAGTAGAATCTAGGATATGCGTTTCATCTTATTTGGGACTCATCAGCCGGATGTTCAGTCACAATGTTAATGTTCGCGCCGGAATTCCACCGTTACCCTTAACGAATCTATTTTAGATTATTTATTTATTTCAACACATAAATATTGGTACAAGAGGGCACCAATTATATATGCGCCACACCATATTTGTGTGTGTGTGGGCTGTGATACTGACCAGGTGCCCAGACCGAAGCAGGTGGTTTTCTTAGGGGGCCACACCCGGAGCCTTTGACCTAAAGGTCTGATCCACAAGGCAGTGGAGCATTGTGAGGAGATGCAGTCCCATGGTAGCCGGTGACCAACGGTTGGTTCATACGCCGTTTGTTCTCGCAGGATACTGGAGCCCATGTGCACCATTGGTTTGGGATCCGGTTAAAGCTCCGGACATTCGCCTTTCGTCCTCTCATTTTCGTAGACAACACCCCCGCCACGATTAGGCAGTAAGTAGGACTTCCCTGGCTGAGGCTGTATACGTGTGACTGTGTGAGAGCATTTCTAGCATAGCATAGCTCGAAATGCTATTTTAAGTAACTTATGAAATATTGGTTATATCAAGACAGTCTGCATAATATGCGTATATCCCAGCAAGGACTGGTCAAAATTTCAATCCTTATTATCAACATCGGAATAGACTATAAACCCTTACTACTAACGTTTAATTTTTATTATAAATGACTGCAAATAGGAACTCAATCTGCTTCAAAAGATATATGGTAAAAGTACACTGTGCGATTGTTTGATGCTGATTGCATTTGAAAGTGAAACCTAACCCTCTAAATGATCAGTTCGGTTGTTTTGTAACCAAGGTTCTGCTAGTGTCCAAATGTTTTGTGATTGAAGCTTCTAGAATGATATATTGCAAGTAGTTGCTTGGATATCTAATAATAAGGACAACAGTATGGAATTCGAACCCATACTATATTATTAATTTGACGGTTCGAAATCTTTTTCTGCCAAATAATACTAAATAGTTGTAAAGAACATGTTTTTGTCCACTAGTTGGATTTTATTTTATATAATCCGATTACTGGACTAGCATATGTATATAAAGTAGATAAACGAATCCTTTAAACTATTATCGAATAAAATAAACTAATTCACTGGGTGATTGGATATGAGGCGCACCCTTATTGTGAGAATTAGTGTTGCTATCTGCTTGTCCAAACCAACGTACACAGTGGGGATTCTAATCTGAGAATTAGTGTTCGAAAGTCGTACTTTTTAACCACTAAACCTATAAACTGTATAGTATAAAATCTTTGATTTTTAATTCCTACGTTAATTAGCCTGTACTTATTTCAAATAAATCAGGGCTACTTACATAATGTGTCGTTAACTACTCAGTTAATCACTTGTCAATAAAAACTATGTGGTTATTCTCCGTTATATCAGAATGCTTGAACATCTGTTATATTTGGTCGTCGTTGATTGCTGTGTCGGAAAAACGCTAATCACTTATACTCGGAACGAGGGACCTCTGCAATTCCCACCATGCGAAAGTAAGAATACAAAGACTAGTATAAGTGAAGATTTATTAGCCCCCAAACACTACGACGATGATGATACAAATAATAATGAATCACAATAGCCTAAAATACACTGGTTTATATATTGATGGTACACCCATTTTGATTAATAATTAGGATTAAATCACATACTCAGTTATAACAAATCACTTACTTAGCATAGTTCATGTCAACTGAATACAAGAACATCGTATATTATACAGAAAATATCATACTGGGAAAACAAATCAAATACTTCACTGAATGATCCTCACGTTGAATAAAACTCATAATGAGTAATTCAATCAATAATTGACTTTTCTTTCCATCATATCAACATCACTGTGAAAGCTATAAGTAAGTGTGAGTTCATTGTCAGTGATAGATTATTTGCATCCTATTAATGAATACCTTAGGAAAGAAAAAAATTTACTCATATAAATTAGCATATTTAAGCCGCACAAGACTACAGATAAGTGGGACAGTGTTCTCGTTAACGTTTTTGATGTTTCAATAATGGTGTTTTATCCATCCTTTCCGTAATTTTTCCTCTTTATTTAGTAGATGAGTGATGTGTATTGTAGCATAATTTTCATTGAAAATTCCATTTCATTTCTCTAGACTTATGCACACTTTAACCCATACACAAATATAGCGAAATCTAGATCTTGTAATGAAATCGGCGGCAAGGATTTCGCATTTTGCATTAAACAAATAGAAAAATGACTAGGAAATTCCAACACAACACGTATATTGAACACTAAAAAACGTCGCCGATAATCCGACATTATATTGTTTCTCTATATTTTCTTACATTAGATATGGATGTGGACATTTGTTAAAGAGGAGATTTGGCGTAGATTTAAAAACAGTCCACTTATTCTAGAGAAACAAAAAGAAATCGAAACATTACTATTCAACCGAGAAATCGCTCCTGGTATAGCCGCTGAATTATTACTTGATATTGATCATAGAAAATCATAATACGCATATTGCACATACCTATTTATTGTATATTACTAAATCTATAATCACAGAATTTCTGAACTTTTTCTTTCAAATTAATCTCGAACAAAGTTACTTTTAGTTGGTCTTCTCTAAAATTACATTTTAACCCTATGTTGATTGTTATTATTTATCTTAATGATTGTCTCAGGTAATTATTTTTATTTATTTCGTCAGATTTGGCGACGATTTTTTTTCTTTTAATTTTCACTTTTCAAGTACTTCTTCACTAGACATAGAATATAAGGAAAATTTAATTGGTCAATTCATTTGTAAATCACACTTGAAATATCTTCAAATTTTGTTTTCACAGTTTTTTCTCTGAATTAAATAGATGTGTTTATGTGTTATGTGCAAAACTCAGCTGACCAGTCAAATGGATGGTGTTATGACTAGGCGCTATTTTTAATTTTCACTCTTCAACAAAACGAGTATAAGTTGGTGTTATTGGATTGATCAGTTGCAAAGGTATAATTATTATATTGTCAACCTTCATATAAGTGAGAAAAATAAGACATACAATACCATTTATCTTAAACTCAGAGTTTAGAAATTGGTTAACCTGGTCTCGTTTAATAAATGATATCCTAGACGATCGAGTACTATTGTGAATTGATTAGTATTAGCCTCGTACATCATAAGATCCTGGCTCGGCCGTCTAAAGAGTAAGGGTTCGCGCGCGAGACTGAAGGTACCGGATTCGATCCTCGATGGTGGAGTCGTAGATGCACATCAGTAAGATGTCCGATACAAGGACGAAACGGGCATCCAGTGGTTTCATGTTCTTGATGTTTGTCTAGTTTAGATCGGTCTATGATCTTAATAATATCCCAGATTGTAGATGTGCTACTTTTTGAGTGTACTTCAAAGATCGTGAATGTTAATTATTTTTAGTTATTTTCGACGTGTTTCATCCATACTCCTTATATATATCAAATTAACAAACCTGTATAACTCACTTCTATTTGATAAGTGAATCCATGAGTCGATTTAAACTAGATCACCACGGAAAACCTGGAAACATTGGATGGCTGTTTTATCCTAATATGGGACTCAGCAATGCGCACCCACTTTCATTGATTATTTACATTCTTATATCCCTTTGACGTGGGTTCAGATTTTGACTAGCTTTTAGTATATCTATTAGTGAAGCAACAATTCCTCACTTTATTATGGACTGCTGTGTGTAAAAGATAACTATAAATACGACTACATAGCTCTAGTAATTGACGTCGTTGGAAAGGAAATTCTCTTCACTCAAACTGTCTTTATTCTCTTTATTGGTATAATCTTGCGCTGGAACTCTTTTCACTGCTTGTTAAACCTTTTTCAACTGGCAAGTTGTATTGTTTGTACTATCCCGTGATACACTGTCATCAATTTGACAGTCACCTCTTGTGAATAAGAATATATGACAAAAATGTAAGAATCTTGTAGTAAAACCCAGCAAATTGCAACAATGTCTGCATGTTGATGAAAGCTGTAAGCTCAGCGACTATCCCACAGACATTTACAAGCTGTTTTAAGCTAAAACAAAATGCGGTTTGTAAGGTTTCCAACAGTCATGTGTTTTTCGAATGACCCACATGGTGACTGAGTACGCGTATATTATAAGTCTGTAATAACCTACAAACACGTGACCAGTTTTACACATTTAATACAAAAAACCTCGTCATTAGCTGTTTAGGTTTGCTGGGAAGAAAGCTGTGGTAAATTTGTTCCGGAATAACTTTTTTTATCCATCATATGGTCTCAGTGGTTGATTAGAGACTTCCGTTACGGACCAATTGTGATTGGGGTGCCAAAAATTAGACAGAAAGTATATTGATACTTTTCTATGTCACCAGAGCATTGAACTCAATGAATTCAAAGAGCCTACCTACTTAGTGAAAACCCAATTTTCCACACCACAATGTGATATTGAGTAGGCTAGCGATCGACTATCGTATGCAGTAGGCTTGTTAGAGGACTCGTAATTAGTTGAAGTATGACCAGAAGAAAGTCGTGACAACTACAATCAACCTAGCAGTTGTACATATCCAATATAATTACCAATCAACCTAACTTAATCAACATAGTCCGAATAATTAGACTAAAAATAGTATTACCCGGCATAGAACTACTTCAACACCTTGTTTGTGTTGAACTTAAAAATGAACTACATCGATATTTTGAATGTACTGCGGTAAAGCATATGGATAATTGATAAATACATAACTGACAAGGTTATTTACTCAATATACACTACGAACATCTGCAAATATCTATAACTAATGGATACATTTTTCAAATCAGACTATCAATCTCTCCACTGTTGATAAAGTAATTTTACTTTTGAGATGTTCATGAAGAACAAGGATTTATAAAAAATGAGAGTTATATTTCACACCAGTAGCTTCAATAGAAGTAACTTGAGCCCATAAAGAACGTGTATGCCACCTGCTGATAAGATCATTAAGCTCTGAATTATCATAATCTACCCCTAGAATAAATCCAAGTACACAACCTCCGAGACCTGCTCCAGTGACTTTCGCTGGAATACCAACTAGTTTTAATTCTTCAATAATTTCGTTTGAAATAGAATGTGACACTCCCAACTCTTCAAGCAAAAGTTGATTTCTAACAATATGACGAGTAAGAGATCGACTAATTTCACAGTTATCTTTCTGATTCAAAATATCAATTACTTCGTCCACGATGGTACCTATTTCTTTGAAAATAGAATTTACACACGTTTTATCTTCCTTCCACTTATCATAGACCTTCCGTACAGCGAGAGATGTGGAACGAGTAATGTTAGTATTGACTATGAGTAATTTGACAGTATCGAAATTTGAAATGTTAATTTCCTGAAATAAAGGAAGTTGATCTTTCCGAAAAACTATAGTACCTCCATATGTGCATATTGTACTATCCAATCCTGAAGATTTTCCATGAATGATGCATTCAGCGTCTCTAGCCAAAGAAGATATTAATTTACGTTGAATCTTATCAATGTCCCAAACTTGTACAAGTGGATAATTGTTAGTTAATAACAGAATGGTAGCAGTAGCAGCGACTGAAAATGCACCTGATGATCCTAGGCCACATCCACTAGGGATATCTGACTGAATTTCTATACATATGGTACTTTTTCCATTAAACATTGGAAATTGTTGATTGCTACACTCATCGCTTCGTAGTTGTGTAGCACGAATAAACAGATATACTATGACACATGTGCTAACAATGATAGGTGAATCATGAAGGGATTCATGATAAGCACAATCAAAAAGATCTGACACTAATTTCCATGCGTAATCCATAACAGATTCTTTATTTGAAATAGAATGAAACATTTTGATTGGAATATGAATGGTATTTTCTGATAAATCTTTAAAATCTATAATAATATCTTCACAAGCTTCATTCTTAATGGTAACTGTAAAATAACACCGTAAGTCAATTGTAGCAGCGATAGCTGGATAACCGTATACAACAGCATGCTCACCAAATAATATAGCTTTCGCAGGAGCAGACACAACAAACTTCTTCATAAATGATTGGAGTTTATGTTATCTTGTTGGGAAATAATTCACAATAAATCTTGCTCATGTAAAACTAGTATCCTAAGAAGAAAATAAGCGATGCTTACAGCGAATTGGGATAAAAAACAATGCACACGAAAAAAACTCGCTTCAAAGCAGGAGTGACTTAAAATAATAGTTTTAAGAAGCTATTCAGTATGTTGAAAAAAACAATGAACTGTCAAGAAGTTTTAAACAGCAACAAAGTGGATACCATATGAAACCTCATTATATATTGTTTACTGGTGGAGCGAAGGCTTTGTGGTTAAACATATTTTGCCTTCAGCCACTGCGTAACCAGATTGGACTCCGCCCCAACTACTTCGGTTTGGGCGACCAGGTAGTATCACTAATCATTGCATTCACAGTGTTGTTTGGAGCCAGGTACGTGGTAAATGGGTTAATAATAGTCCAAACTTGTTGTTTGGTCAATGGTCTTAAAGTAATAGCTTTCCGAGAAGTGATAACTGACAACGTAAGATTATCATAACTTAGTTGTTGAAAAGTATTAAATTACCTATCAAGAACTATAGAAACTAAAGAATAGAACAATTTGACTACTTTTCCAACTCATAAATACGATATATTAAAAACAACACACATTTAAATAGCTGGAAAATATCATTCGACTTGGGGTCACACTTTTGTATAAAGGCTAGTGATACTGCCCGGTCATTAAAATCAATTTAAGTGGAGTGTAATTTGGACCTAAAACCTACCTCTTATATGAACTAGTGTCAGAAACAAAAACCTGTTACACACTACTTAGCCGTACAATATGTATAATATAGGGAACTTTTGTTAGCGACTTCAGTTACAAAAAGTATTCCTTTCTTAAGAAAGCCAAAATAACTCAATAGAAACTTACTATGCTCGCTTACAAATTGATAGGAATAGATCTTACCATCCACACGTAAGTAAAATATACTGCTTTGGATTTGTGAGCTGGACAATTAACTAAAACATTAGCTATACTATATCCTGGTTGTTAATTACAAGCAAAATCACGAAAAACAATAGAAAGGATATAAAATTAAGTGTTATAAAGGTTGTTATGACCTCTGGAATCGACACGAAAACAATAGAACAACTAGTAGCTAAACTACAGAAAATAAACTTACGATTTAGATATGGGCGAACATAAGGTACCCAAAATCTGATTTAAAAAACTACTGTATTATACACGTTATTTATTGTGAAAGTAATGTCAAGAAATTCACTTTCAAATATCCATATGTAACAGCAGTCATCAGAAAGTTAAAGCAATAAAAGTGTATAATATCAGCTGACATAACCAATATGGATCCGAAACTCCAAGCTAATCTTAGCTAGCCAAAACACTACGATTTAATATAGAATATTAAATCTCCCAAAAGCCAGTAAATTTTCGGACCTTTACTATAAATGCAATGT